TATATTCGTCCAGTACCCGCTTATACCGAATACACGGGTCTGCCCTGGATGATGTATACCCGTCGGACTTGTATCCTGCCGCCAGCGTTGCCTGCCAGTCGTGGCTGCCCTGCATGGTGCCGTATATTGATTTCTTTAGTTTGCAGACTAAGTGTTCTTTCCCAGGTAATGTAAACCCCTCGGGTTGCTTCATGTACACGTCGTGGGTAATTGGGCTGTTTAAGAAGGCTGCTGTGAAGTCCACTTGGAACAGAGAGAGTTTAAGTGCTGCTGTAATTGCAAGTACCAGGCGTACCGACTCCATCCTCGCGACCCCACCATACGTCTTGTCGTAATCCAGTCCCTGTATCTGTGTATACCCTTGAGCTACATACCGAGCTTTCCGTTTGAGCAGATTTCCCCTCGCGTCGAACTTGATGGCATACGTCCATCGGCCTCCTGTGAGGTTCGCATTTGGCGGTAAGGGAACGAGATCCCAGCAATCTTTCTTCATCAATGTAGCAATCTCTGCTTCCATTGGGTGTAAGACCTGGGTCAAAATAGGTCTTAGGGTAGGTTTTGGTATGTGGAGGTTTATGTTGTAGCGTGCTAGGAGCAGGCTGGAGCTCGAAGGGAGCTACGAGAACCGCGACCGAGGACGGGAATGACCTAGTAGTGGTTGGAACGACGAGATGGTGACCCTTGAGGGGTTCCTAGGAGGTCCAGGGAGGTCCCTAATGCGTAGGGAGGTTCAGGACGAGTGCGGGACCGTAAGATATTGCGTAGTAGGAGTTGTACTCGCTAGAACGTCAATATAGAGTCGAGTAGGTAGTTTATGCAACGGGGTCTCGAGGGTGTAAGCTCCCGAGAAGGGATCTGCCAGGGAGGGTAGGTCCCTGGGGACTAGGTTTGAGGATGGTCGTCCTCGAGTGTGGGAGGTGGTAACGGAGAAGCAATACGTAGTTCGACGTGAGGGGTAGCTTCGACGTTACCTAGATCGAGGTCCCGAAGCTTACGAAGTGGCTAGGGAGCTCTGGGAGGTTTGGGGAAGGGTAGCTCACCAAGCGGGTAGGCGTTGGGGAGCTTTAGTAATGTTCGAGGGAGCTCGGAGACTCACTCGGAAGGCTTAGACTTGAAGTGAAAGCGTATATTCGATCGTATAGACGATCAGAGAGACAATAGACAGAAGTAGAGAGAAACAGAGGTAGAGAAACAGAGAGTAGAGAGAGTTCCGTATAGGTAGCAGGTACAAAGGGACAGGGACTGGACCTATGTAAAGGGTGTGTGTTCAAAATATACCAAGCTAGGGACGCTTATGTTACGGAGGATACTTATATAGGTGGGCTGAATAGTAACGGGACATTGTAATAAACGAGCATCTAATGGGGTTGACGTGAAGTGCGGAACCCATGAGGCTAAATTGATAGGGGATTGTCCGGCGGCGTACGCGAGTCGCGGAGCTGCCGCTTCAGATGGAGGTTAGCGTTGGTGGGAAGGTTAGTTAGGGTTCCGTGGTTCATGGAGGTTATTTGGGAGGTGTAAGGGAGCTGATACGCTGTTCTGGGATGTCTAGGAGAGTGACTAGGGGAGCTTTTGGGGCAGGGCATGACATTGGGGCTGTCCAGAGGTCAGGGTGCCGCATTGCTTGCTTGTAGGACTGTGGTACCCATAGTTCTCCGGCCGTGGCTGCAAATGCGAATGGGTGTTGGGCTATCAATGCCAGTGGTGTGTCCTCCGTCCAGCTCTCCCTCTTTTCTGCCGCTGTCCGCTCTCATTCTCTGTATTCCTCACTTTCGAGGTATCTGCGTGACGGTACTGGTTCCCGCCCACTTCGGCGCGGTGGTTCTGGTAAGTCCCGGACTCGTGGCTGGTTATCTATTTCCGGGTACGTTTCCGCTGGCAATTGATTCGGTTCATTCTGTTGTTGATCGCCGTTGCCGTCATTTGCGGTATCAGTTGCAGGGTTGCCTGTTCGTGGGTCTTGTGGCGTTGTGGGTTGCCCTACTTCTTCCCCCCACTCTTGCTCGTTAGTGTCCTCTGGTGCAGGCCTCGTACGGTGTGGTGTACCTTCCTCAAAGGTAACATCATGCGACTCCTCGATCTTTTTCGTCTCCGGTATCCACAATCGGTACCCTCGTCTCCCCATGTACCCCAGTAGCTTGCCCTTTACTGCCTGTCTTCCCAGCTTCCCATCTGTCCTCCTCCTTGGTAGAGTGGCCCAGCAGTCGCATCCGAATGGCCTCAAGTGCGATACGTCATGCCTTTTCTGTGTCCAGGCCTCGACTGGGACCGTGTCTGGGAAGCGTGCGGAGGGAATGAAGTTGTTTGTGTACACAAACGTATTTGACGCCTCACCCCAGAATGAATATGGGAGACTTGCCTCCTCTAGTAAGGTACGTGTTCCGTCCATTACCGTTCTAAATGACCGCTCAGCTACCCCATTCGCTGCAGACGAGTCATGCGGGACTTTCTCAATTATGATACCATGCTCCTTGCAATACTCGTCCACCAGTCCGTTATTGAGCTCGCCCCCTCCGTCTATCCGGATAATTCTCAACTTCTTGCCAGTCTGCTTCTCGGCCATTACACGGTATTCGTGTAGCACCTTCAGCCCCGTTTCCTTCCATTTGTTGTTTAGGTAGTATGGGACTCTGAATGACGATCTCCCGTCTGTACAGAGCATGAGGTACGTCGCTCCACCTCTGGTTGGTGTTCTCGCTGGTCCGAACAAATCCATATGCACTCTCTCTAGTACCTCAGCTTCGTGCGTTAATACTTCGTCGAACGGGCGTCTTACTGCCTTGCCGTATAGGCAGTCTTCACACATTCCACGGACGTCTTTGTTTGTGATGTTCAGCCCGTCGACTAGATTACGGTTCGCCATCCGGAGTATCCGTTTTATCGCAATATGGCCGAGTCGTCTATGCCAGGTGATTATGTCCACTGGTCTGTCCCTCGCTCGCGAGTAGTTGGCCGTTGTCTCCCCCGACTCTAGTACCTCAACTTCGTACATTTTGTTGTGCCCGAAACCCTGCACGATTATTTCTCCACTAGGTGCTCTCACAGTCATTATCCCCACTCCCCATTCCCCTCGCATGCCTCGGCGGTCAAGTGTTGGTATGGATATCAAATTGTGCCCGAATGACGGTGTATGTTTCACCCCTCGCAGGTGAATTAACCTCTCTTCCTCTTTTACTCGTGTCACGAATTTGACCGTCCCGGTGCCCAGGATCTCAAACCTCCCTGTATCGCCAGATATCGCGCTACTCCCTGCCTGTCCGTGTACTGCGGTATATTCAGTAAAATCAGACCTTCGGACCCAACAATGTTCGGATGCCCCCGAGTCAAGAAACGTTTTTATTGTTGGCATAGGGTTTGCATACAGGGGTGTATTAGCCTGGCAAGCTACGCATTCCGGCTGGGGTACAGTTTTATAATCGAGTATGTTACTACCTATGTCCCTATCCCTTTTCTCCCACTGACACCTCTCCCTTAGAATGGGATCAACCTGTCTGGCTGTAGTGTCAGTGGTTGATTTGGGTGGCTGGACTGGCTTGAACGTACTTGGTTTGTTGCTCGCTTGGGCCGCCATCACGTACGTCGCCATGGGTGTCGATACTTCCGCGTCGTCCGGATTGGCTGCATTTGCGTTCGCCCCTGCCTTAGGTTTGTTTGCGTACCCTTGTTTCGGACCCTGTCCTTCCATTCCCCCCCCTTTTGCCCAGCACTTCTTCGCTATGTGCCCGGGCTTTCCACAATTGTGGCAGGTGAGTACTGGCCGGTTTCCCGTACGTGTCTGGTTCGGCAAGGTGGAGTTGGTGTTATTGGTGGACTGGTGGTGCGCTGCCATCAGGGCTTTCACCCTCTTCGTGTCGCGCTCCTCCTCCTTGCGTTCCTCCTCCTTCTCGTACCATAGCGTATGGAGATACGTGAACGCGTCTGCGCTGGATACCCCCGGGACGCTCCGAACGTCCTGTCTCCATCCCGATGGCATCGACGAGATGACGATTCTGCGGAATTGTGCATCTGTTGCTGTCCCTCCTAGGTCATGTACCTTCTTCAGGAGGTTTCGCATCTTCTTTTCATGGTCTTCCATTGTATTCTCTGGATCGTACTTTTCCTGGCGGAGGTTCATATCGGCTAAGTGTATGCGCTGCTTGTCCCTCTTTTCGAATCGTTTGATTAGCTCCTGCCATATTTCTGAAGCTCGCTTGGTTTCGTCTATTCCCAGTCCGACGGGGTCTATGATGTTCGATACGATCGCACCAGCAACTAGCCTGTCGCGGGCCTCCCATTCTTCCGGGTAAGGAGTCGGACTGAATAGTGGGGTTGTGAGCTGAGTAGGTGGATATATTGGCGTGGGGTATTTGTTTGGGCGTGCGATCGTCCCGTCGAGATATCCTGTTAGTCCCTTCGATTGGACTGCAAATGTGACCTCCCGTTTGAACGGTCTCCAATTGTCTTCACCGATGAGCTGCTTCTCGTCCGGGAGTCTAGGTATGTTCGGGCTGTTTCCGAACGACATTTTTACACTTCTCGTGTCTTCGAGTTGGCTACCTTTATTTCAAATAAAATTTTCTCTGTTCAGTCAGAGTTCGAGTCTCATAATCTGTTGACGTAGAATTAATCTCAGTTGATGTAAAAGCAACTGTATATAGTTTTAGGTACCTGTTGACGTAGAATTAATCTAGTGAGTACCATCAGTAGGTGCGAGTATTCTAGTGTGTTAGGGAGCTCACCTCAGTTGATGTAAAAGCAACTGAGGGAGCTCGAGTACTGTCCGTCTGCATGATCTAACTACAACTGTACAGTATGTAGTAATCATGATCTGCGCATACGGATTGGGAACAATGTCTGGAAATAGTTAGGTCGAGGTCAAAGCTGTACATACGGTGTAATTTCCCCAACACTAACTGCCAACAATCCAAGGGGTTGTCTGAAGTACAGAGGTGTAATATCAATATCGATTCATCATGTCATCTGAATATTAACCCATCTGGATATCTCTGATACTCTATAAATCATTCCCATGGTTGAACGGGAATACCCATTGGTATACAGCTTAGCACTCGCTCCATATGGCCGATGTAGTGTCCTTGAGCAAAGGTTATGTGGTGGGTAGTCCTCTTAGCCAGATCAAAATCAACAAGCCTCCAGCCATAAATTTTGCCAGTGAATGGAGAAGGTAAACTTGGAAGACCACCCTCACTGGGTGGGAGTACAGACAAAATATTTTCCCAACGCAAATCGCTATGAAGGATGTGCAGCTTGGCCAAGTCTGAACCAACATCATTGAGGTCAGACCTGATGTGAGAACGATTAAACATGTTTTCGGGGAAGAGCACTCTAAAAACGTACTCTGCACCGTTCGGAAGCGGTTTTCCAAGTTCTAATAAGCCCCCAAGTTTTTCAATAACGAGAAGAGACATAGGACCGAAATCAAAGTAATCAAACAACCTATAGCGGCGTTAACAGTAATGTGAGCCAACAGAAGGACACAAACCGCGCTTGAAAGAACCCATAACATCGTGGAACAGCGGAGCCCTGTAGGCATGTTATGGATTCATATGCTGTTGCTTCTCTTGATATATCTTTTGTATGAAACTGTCTTGCAAGCTTAATCACCACGGGCGGGATCTTATATCCCTTTTCGTTCCCATGAGGAATGGTACATTCACACTCGAAAATCATTCCGGTTCGGCCTTCAGACAAGAGTTTTCCCAGAGAGACATGGAGAGTCAAGCCTGCAGGTAGCGGAAGTTCGAAAGGAGGATCGGGATATGGAGGACAAACGTCATAAAAGTTCAGTTTTTCTTCCCTCGTATAGTCGTCGTCAAGAGTGCTCGCGGGAGGAGGGACTTGGCGGTATAGGACAACAGGAACTTTAGGCCCGATCCATTCTTCATCTTCGGATTCGACCTTGCCGGCTACGAGGATTACAGCGGAAAGAGCGTTGATTGGCTAAGGAGTTGATCTGTGAGCAGGCTTGTCTCTCAGCACTGAAGACATACCAGATAGTCCATCGTGACTGAGGTTTGTGCGATGCGAAACAGATTCACTATCGTTACTGGTGGTTAGAAAGTAAGGACAAGATGATGGAAAAAGGTTATGTGACCCCCCAGATTGCCGAGAGGGCTTGCTATTCGAACTTCGACAGCCGTGGAATGTCATGTGTGTCGTGAGTATTGTGGGCGGACTGTTGGGTGTTTTCATTTCCTCTGGCATTTCACCTCCCTACGATGTCGTTAACCAAATCTTGTTATATATCCAGAAACATGTTGCATTGCCGATAATGGTACATTGCTGCCTACGATACAAAGTGTATAACGGAATTTAAGTAACTTGGGAAGCAACGCAAACCAATGAGCAGAGCAACACAATAGAGCACTGAGGGGGGTGTTAGCTATCAAAAAAAACTATGCCATACATGCAGGGTGAATAATGTAAGATTGTATAATGCAAAATCAGAGCAGGTGTCGTAGAGATATACTTTTCCATTCCGCCTCCCCAGAAGAACGCAGTTTAGAAACGTAGCAGGGACGCGTAAAGCATATTATATCGAAGGCGTTCGTGAAAGAGCGGAATGATCAAGGCCGTGTAAGGCGAGAGATTAAGGAGATACATGGAATAGAGGTGCGCGGTCGGTTAAGTCATGAGCACAGGATGCAGAGGAACGGCAGGGCATGGCGATAATGAAAAGGGATGAGAAGAACAGATTGCTTAATCCTTCTTCTCTTCCTTCTTTTCTGAATCCTCAGTAGGCTTTTCCTCTGATGACTCGGCATTACGCTTCTCGTAAACCTTTGCAGAGAAATTGTTATTAACCGGACCTGGATTACGAGAAAGTTATCTGTACCTTTTGGAACAGGCCAAGCGACGCTTGCTGAGCCTCGTTGATCTTCTCGCGTATCGTCTCAGCAGTGATTGAGGGGTCTGCATTTTGGCCTTTCTGGGCCAACTCACGCAGCTCAGTGATGAGCTGTGCGACCTTCTCCTTCTCAGTAGCATCAATCTGGTCCTTGAATTCATTCATAGCTATGAAAAACATGAGATGCAAGAATGTTCACAACGAGGGAGGACGTACCCTTCTCGGTATCTGCACAGACAGAGTCTGCCTTATTGGCTTCCTCAATGAGAGAACGACGAGCCTTGTCGCTCTCAGCAAACTGCTCAGCATCCGACACCATCTTCTCGATGTCCTTGTCAGACAGGCCAGACGAAGAAGCGATGGTCATCGACTGGTCCTTGTTAGTAGCCTTATCCTTGGCTGCCACGTTGACAATACCATCTATATAACAAGTTTAAGTCAGTTCATATTTCTACAAACGAAGAGATAACGCACCGGCATCGATGTCGAAGGTGATCTCAATTTGAGGAACACCTTTGGGAGCCGGAGGGATGCCAACGAGGTTGAAGTTGCCCAATAGCTTGTTGTCACGAACCATCTCACGTTCTCCCTGGTAAATTTTGACCTCGATGGCAGTTTGCCCGTCGGCGGCAGTGGAGAAGACCTGCGACTTCTTGGTCGGAATAGTGGTGTTACGGTTGATGAGCTTGGTCATGATACCCCCCAGGGTCTCGATACCTATGAAAATTGAACAGACACCATATATAGCAAGTAAAGCAACTTACCGAGAGAAAGAGGAGTGACATCGAGAAGCAGAATGTCTGTAACACTTCCAGCAAGAACGCCTCCCTGAATAGCAGCACCCTTAGCAACCGCTTCGTCAGGGTTGACACCCTTTGATGGCTCACGCCCGAAGATGCTCTTTACGGTCTCGCCGACACGGGGCATACGAGTCATACCACCCACAAGAATAACGTCGTTTATCTCGGAAGCTTTGACTCCAGCATCGCTCAAAGCCTTTTTACATGGGTCAGTGGTACGCTTGACGAGAGGGTCAACCAAAGATTCGAACTGGGAACGAAGAAGCTTAGTGTTGATATGTTTTGGTCCAGACGCATCCGCAGTGATGAACGGAAGATTGATCTCGGTCTGGGTGGTGGAGGAAAGTTCGATTTTGGCCTTCTCTGCCGCTTCACGAATACGCTGAATGGCCATACGGTCACCGCTGAGGTCAATGCCTGACTCCTTCTTGAACTCGTTCAAGAGATGCTCAACGAGGACAATGTCGAAGTCTTCACCACCAAGGTGAGTATCTCCGTTAGTGGATTTCACCTCGAATACACCCTTTTGCATCTCCAAAATGGAGATATCGAATGTTCCTCCTCCCAAGTCGTATACAGCAATGATTGAGGAGTCATTCTTGTCAAGACCATAGGCCAATGCGGCAGCCGTAGGTTCATTGATGACACGAAGAACATCAAGACCAGCAATCTGACCAGCGTCTTTCGTGGCTTGACGTTGGGCGTCATTGAAGTAGGCAGGGACCGTGATGACAGCGTGGCTAAAAGACCTTAACTTCAGACTGCGTAAAATTTATTGGTTTCCTTACCTAACGTTCTTGTTCAAGAATTGCTGAGCGGTCTCCTTCATCTTTGTGAGTACCATAGATGACAACTCCTCTGCTGACTAAAACTCTATTAGCAGGAACGGAGCCGGAAATGAATCAGCACTCACTAGTTGTTGCTTTTTTCCATCATTATCAATTTCAACAGCTGGCCTGCCGTCAGATTTGGCGACAACCTTGAAAGGCCTACAGACAATAGTATAAGATTCGTATGAGATGTATTGGAACCATAGAGGCGCACCAGTGCTTCATGTCATCTTGGACTTCCTGGTCTTTGTACATCCGTCCAATTAACCGCTTGAATGCGTAAACAGTGTTCGCAGAGTTGACAACAGCTTGACGTTTGGCAGGAAGACCAACGAGGCGTTCGCCGTGTTTTGTGAATGCAACTACGGAAGGTGTGGTCCTAACACCTTCCGCGTTCTCAATAACCAATGAATCCTTCCCCTGCATAACAGAGACACAAGAATTTGTTGTTCCCAGGTCAATACCGACGACTGGGCCTACAGGGGGCGTTAGCTAGATATCAATTTTACTTTAATGAGTCTTACCGTTGACTTTGGAGTTCATGTTTCGTGCAATTAGGGAACGCGGAAGGCCCTGGAAGGGAGTAAGATGTCAGAACACGAACAAGGACTGGGGAGCAGTGCACGCATACAGCATAAGGACCTGTCCTGGTTGCAGCAAAACGGAGGTTACGAGCAGCGAGAAAAGACATGGTGGTAATGAACAGAAGAGGACTAAAGAACGGAAGAACGCGGTTGTGAAATCTCAAAAAAAAAAATATGAGCGTGTATGTAATCAGTCACGTGTACTTAGTACACGTCATTTCTCGAATCTTCGGCGAACTGCATCCGCCGTCCGGAGAGAGGGAGGCAGAGGTAGACTTTGTTTTAACCCAGTTTAACCGGACATCATAGGTATTAAGCATGCTTGCAACAATATTACAATACACGCAATATGTAAATAGACGAATTCCGAAGTTAAAGCGAGTTAATCGCAACACTGTAACTCGAAGTCATCAGCACTGCGTTTCCAGTAAACGGCTCCGTTCCGGTCTGGATAGCTTGAACGTACTGTGAACGCGAAAATTCAGGCTACGTGAATTACAAAATAGATGGACCACATACTTGGGAAGAGGCGACACCTTCATTTTCTGTGAGATAAGCTAGATGGAACGTGGTGAAACTTGACTTTGCATTATCGGCAAAAAGGAATGTTGGCTTACTGAAAAACTCTTGAAGGTCAACGTCGAAGTCTGTGATATCACCGCTAGCAGTCTTGAAGGAGAAAACTTCCCAGTTCGCATTCGGGCCGCTCCAAAGATCCCATTGGAATCCTGCAACGGTTATGTTGGACTTGGTGACTGAACCGACAGGTTGGATACTGAAATGAGAAAAGATTTGTAGATATGATTTTAGTTGTTCGCAAAGACCGAAGACATCTTACCCTCCTTGGCCAGAAAGCCAGATCATACTACCAACAATGAAATAAGAGCGTGCAGTATCATATATCTCAAGATAAGACATACATCTCATAAGAAGACGCGGAGGTGGCTGCCACTCCAGAAGGTGCTTTCCCGAACCAAATATCGTATCTGGATTGTCGGAAATATCAGCTAGGTACAGAAATCTGTGCATTGGGCTTTGTTGTTCTTACGAGACATCAGCTCTAATCCCATCAGATTGGGTCTCGTAAGTCCAACTCCAGCTGGTCGGGGCAGAGGCGATGTTCGAGAGCTGATATCATAATGCGCAGAATGTCACGGTTAACCTTCGTTAGAATGAACTTCAGGAATCCAATAAATTATTCACCTGTACGCCCTTTGCAGTGTTCGACAACACGTTAGCATCTGTATCCAGAGAGGAGGAAGGGAGTTTAGGAATGGTTTTGATGAGGCGGGCGACACTACAATACCCACAGCTTTTAACATTATTAGGATTATTGGCCCAATTCCAGGTCGTGGACCAGGAGACTGCATCCCCGGTGGTACTGATCAAAGTAGACGACTGATTACCCACTCCAGAGACTGATGATCTTGTCATTAAGAGTACGAACCAAAATGCGACTTCAACGTACGTTCACCCCAAAGGTTTTGGCAGAGCGTGAAATCTCCGGCTGGAAGGCAGTCATACTGACCTGTTATTGTCTGGGCAGAAGACAGAAGAGCGAGACTTAGGGCTGATGCAACGGTGGGGGCAGATACGAGACGCATGCTTGGTTACTAGAGCCAGTATGACACCGTCGGTTTTTGGTTTGGGCTTTTATAACGAGCTTTGTACGCGATGCATATGCACTTATGACGCGAAGGGTAAACAGGTAACTCCGTTGATTTCTTGCTTGATTCGAATAGCATAAAGAAGGTTCCCGAGGTAGTTCAGTGAGCATCGTTTCTCCGAATATTTACAACCTGAGTTGAACGTCGAAGACTGCAAAATGTGACTAGCTTGAAGACCGCGAAAAACCAGAGATTTTTCCGAGCTCCCTCATCGTAATTTTATCGGCGACATCAGCAGCGAACGCAGCCTAGCATCGCAGACAGACATAAGCTTTGTAGGTAGTTGGCAGTGGGTCGGAGGTCAAGAGCCCTTATACTCGCTGACTAAGCTGAGCAGCTCGTCTTTTCTCTCAACAACCATCTACATACAGGTCAACTTAATCACAGTGAAATGGCTCTCATTGAGGTACGTCGTGTAGCTTGAGTTATTGAGCCCATTTAACCATTGACGCAGGTCATCGCCAATGATCGTCTCGGACGTAAAGGTAAGCTTGCGCTCGAGCACCCGTCAAAAGACCGTGAACTGTGATCTAATTTTTCTCAGTTCGAGTCAAATGCAGTCCAGACGACACTGTTGGAGATCTCAAGAAGCTTATTGCAGCGCAGACTGGTACCGATCACACGAAGATTCAGTTGAAGAAATGGTGTGTAGTTATTACTCATGGTCCTGATCAAACAACTTACTGATTCTTCCGACGTAACAGGTATACTATATACAAGGATCATATAACACTCTCAGACTATGAGATCCACGACGGCATGAGCTTAGAAATGTACTAACCGACCTTTCTCCTCGATATTCATTTCTGGATGCTCTCAGCGCTTGGTGGGTGAGAGGTGGTTTTAGAGGTTTCAATTCTCTTATGAAACGCAATGTTATGAAACGCAATGTAAACATGTATGTTTGTCAATCGTAATGCTTATGCCCCTCTTCTAAGTCTTTACGCAATGCCCTGAGCCTTGCGCAACATTTTGCTAATGCTTCATCCCAAGATATCCAACCCTTTTCCTTTCAGAGCGCTAGGGAAGCTGCGCCAGCTACTAAAGCCGGAACTGATATTGCAAGGAGAGCAATCTGCGGGGAGGGTAAGGCACCATTTACTGCTAACTTCGTCGAGTTCTAATGTTATGGATCAGCAACCACAATCCCTGCAAGTGTAAGGGATAACCCACAGCGACCCCCATGCTGTTCTTTTGAGCAACGACGCGCTGTAAACCAGGGTCTATGGGTGCGGGTGCAGGCATTGGCGTTGCGTTAACTGAAAATGCGGAAGGTAAGATGATGCACCGTCTTAGTCTGTTATCGCTACTCACTAATACCGGCGGCAAAGAACAGAAAGAAGACAATTATTACTTGCTTGATCATTATCGTGTGGTTCAACGTTATTAAAGGCAGAAAAATAATTGAGTGCTGAGATAAATGTAGGAAAGAATGTGCGTCGACTTAGTGTGCGTCCAGGCGCGTGCAAGGTGATTTGAGTGAACGAGGAGGGTATTAGAGCTGTGGTCGACTCTTATAGGAACTATATATGAACGAGTACAAGGTCGATAATTCTCCTTCAGTCTGAATTAGGGAATTAGTTTGTGTTGTATGCACAATTACCCTGTTTGGTACAAGGTTCGCGATACTGTAGACACAACGTTAACGTGTTACTAAACCGGATACATATTCTTGCAACAAAAATCCAACTCCGAGATATTGTGCTGATTGCATATCGCTCGTCAGTCGCATGTGCTTTTATATCAAGCCGTTACCAAGGCCAAATCCGAAAGCCACAACACCAAGAGCCATTACTCCTGCGGTGCTGAAGAATGCAATTTTATCGGCCCCACTTGAGCTACTACTGGTGGCAGAAGTAGAGGCAGTGGAGGACGAGGTCGAAGATGAGCCACTGCCGCTGGAGTGCGAAGATGTGGCAGAGCCGGAACTGGATCCTGAACTGGATCCTGAACTGGCGGCAGAAACGCTCGAACCAGAGGCTGAAGTGCTACTAGCTTGCGAAGTAGTGGTAGTGACACTGGAAGTGTTGATACCAGTGGCGGAGAACGAGCCGGTGGTGGCGGTACCGGTGGCAGAGAGGCTCACTGAAAGGCATCGGTAAGAAATAAGGGGAGTTGGAATTGTATAGAAACGTACAAGCACCACATTCTTCGCTCTGGAGGGCCAGTGCATCTTCAAGATCTGAAGGGCATTGATTGGTCAAACACTCAGCAGAGTCTTCCTGGAATTGAGCGTTGGTGCAAAGGCAGGTCAAATCGGTTCTGAGGTGGAACGTTATTGGATGTCGAACATGGCGAACGAGGTCGAAACATACATGCCACTGCAGCCATTTGCACTGCTAGCCTGCGTAATACAGGCAAGCGCACAGCTAGACAAACTAGAAGCGGCAGAAGTAGACGTGGAAGCGTCCGACGATGTCACAGAGGTCGCTTGAAGAAAGGTTCAGATCGTTCGTACGATTTGAGTAAAGCTTGAAGCCTACCGTCACTTGAAGAGTCTTGTGCTCTGATAGATACGACTGCGATGCTCAGGTGGGCCAAGAGGAGGGTGAACTTCATGATGACTGTTGAACAACTAAAGACACAGAACTGGCTGTCTTCTTATACTCATCCGACGGGTGAGACTTCCAACTTGTGACATGACCCGAATGTAGTTGTGAACGGAACGATCACCCTGAGACTTGCGTTCGCGCGGGATAAGTTCAGCCTGTTCAGGTTCGAAGAGCACCGCTGATCAAATGTCAGATTCTCGCCTCCAGAAAGAAATACGCCGCTAGCCCCAACCCTGCCACAACCAGCCGCAAGCGCTCAGAACCGGTAGGAGCTCCTATTTGCACTAGTTGCATGGTCAACTATTGACCTCACCCGCAGACCTAAACTTTTCACACACCATTATGAATAAGTTGTGTAGAAGAAGCCACATGTACATGTACAAATCGATTTTCCTGGCTTATAGGCGCATCACAAAGCTTTTGCAGTATGTCATTCAGTCCAAAGCAACACCATATACTTTGCTTGCTACTTCTCTCCATCTCCCTCTCCCCTCTTTTTTCCCTTTTTCTCGATGTTCTTCTTTCCCTTCTCCCTCCATGTCAAACCTGGAAAGGGCAATAGCTTCCCCCAAAGCCTCGGCAAACACTTCCCCGTACTCTACTTCCAGATGGTGTAACCTTCTTCCAACAATGATCATGCTATGCAAAGGTGGACCGAACGCATCAGGCGGTGCACGAAGGAAGGATGACAGTGGGCCTGCGAGGATACGCTGGTCATCCAATCCACCCACTCTACTCATGGCTACGGCCAGCGTTTTATCCGCATCTAACACTCCCTCTTTGCGAAATGCTTCAATTTCAAGTAATTGAGTAACCGCTTGTTGGATAGTCATGTAACGCGGAGGCTCGTATATTTTGCGACCTCTTAAAAATTGTTAGTTTAATACAGATCCAGCGACAAAACTTACCTGGCTAGGTTTTCTTCATTCTGCTCCTTCACCTTGATATCTAACAAGAGTAAAGTGTGCAATCCACCCTCTGTATTCTCTTTTATCCGATCATAAAAACTATCAGGCTTCCACGTCTCCGTGAAGAAGACTAATGAGACTGTCTGGCCAAAGTTGTACAACTGTAGCCCGGATGCCCCGATTGCATTCATAATCGACGCGTTATGAATCACTCTTGTTGGAATACCGAGATGGCGGGCGCGAAGGAGAATGTCGGTGTGAGTCGTCGCGCCAAACGGATCACCAACAACCAAAAGACACACATCTTCCTTATCAGCGTCCTTCAAAATCTCATCACTGCCGCATTCTACCAGATCTCGGTCTGCAACAATCACTTCTTTGCCGTAGAATGATTCCAGTCGATCTTTCTGTACCATGAGAATAGATGTGTAGGCTTCGAGGTAAACACGAGAGGCGGATTTCACTGCCTAGTGGAAATGTGAGCTATAAAGCATCAATGTCGAGCACGCAAGTACGAATAGATAAAGCTTTAGTCCGGAACATACCTCAAGTCCACGAACAGTGATATCTTTTTCATCACAAAGGCCGAGTCCGACGACGAAAAACATTTCAAAACTTCAAATCGCTTTATGTTTCTGTAGTGGTAAGAGAGAAGAGTTGATGCCGGTAATTGTTTACCGGCATCCTAATCGATCTCCAGTTGCAGTCTGATTTAGGTCTGATTCAAGACAGACTTTACATTTACACCGGAGTGTGTTTTCATCTCGCATCTTATAATAGGGCATGCTTGAATGTTCATGAAAATTCATTACTAATATCAATAACCACAGCTACAAAATACTTGACCATAATTCATTAGTCCTCTGTGTATGTCGGAGGAACATCGATCACCTCTCTCTCATTGGGAGCAGGAAGCCTGACGCCAGAATCGGTGTGCAGTCTGAGTTCACTTCTACGAAGCTGCTCATCTCGAACCTTCAAACTCTGGGCATTTTTCATCGACACAAGACGACCTGAATCGGGTCCTGATTGACTCGCCCGCGATGAAGATCCTGCAACAGATCCTGCAACAGAAGAATCCATAACAGCGGACGGAGAATGTGGCGGGGAAGTTCCATCGCGGTATAGAGCATCAGGAGAGAATGCACCAGATCCAGGACGACCGGACGAGGAAACAGATTGCATAGGAGGCGGGGAATTGATGATTGATCCTCCCGAATTCGGGCCATAATGACCAAGTGGTGGGGTCCCTGCACTCAAATCTAGCATCCCGGGAGAATGGTGCGCGCTTCTTCTCCGTCTACGGAAGAAGAAGTATAGCGCAAGAATAATTGCAGCAAGCCCCACAACACCTCCAACGACACCACCGACGATAGCACCAACGGGAGTGCTATGACTACTGGATGACCCCCCTGAGCTTGAACCCACTCCGGTAGAATTGGATGAACCCTCGGTAGAAGAAGAATTGGAGGGGTTGGTTTGTATGATAAAATATTCGATGCTAAGGTACTGCGGTTGGGGGGTACTGTTATAAGAAGTAGCGACATTCAGATTATGCTGTGATGCGGACAAGTCTGCAAGGGTGAAGAGAGGCCAATTGGAGATATTTGTGTAATTGCCCCCACTGTTGGAAGTCTTCGCACTTCCAGGGAGATCGAAATCAGTCGACTTTCCATCGATAGTATAAAATGCAGTGGTAGCATTGTACTCCGTAGGACTGCCGAAATTCACTGAGTATAAAGTGGTTGAGGTGCCTATGTAGGTAATCGTACTTAGTGCCGAAGATAGGGGTTCAAATCATACGTACCGTTGAAAGATAGGCTCATACTCGTTCCAGTGAGATCCGTGGCATTCGAGTTGAGACCTTGGAAAGACCATCCACCAGAACTGTTGCTGTAAGAGATCGAGGGGTCGCTATTATGAATTCGAAGAGTCACAGCGTCTAGGGGATCTGAAGGTAATGGCTGATACTGGATACTATCTAGCCAGAGAGAGGAAGTTGTGGGCGAATCTGGATAGAAGAAGAAATTGACTACCAGGGTATGCTCGCTTGTGGTGCCAGATAAAGTCCCTTCGGAATCGCATGCAATGTAATTCGTGACCTGGGAAGTGTCCACCGTGAAACTGGTGATAAGATGGTTATCTACGTTGCAGTACCAGCCGTAAATTCCCTCAGCGGCTACCATCGCACGAACGAAGGTTCCTGCGAGCTTCGAGGTAAGTACCAACAAATCAGCAAGGAAATATGTGATCTTGTACCATTGAAACTGAACGTTAATGAACCATTGTTCGACGTTCCACTCAGTCCAGTAAGGGTGTGATTGAAGACAGGTCCGCCATATCCCTGCCCATCTAATTTTCCCGCAGAATCCTTGGAAAACGCACTTGAAGGGGTGTACTGGATCGATGGGTCCGTATCATCCACAACGACCAGGCGGGGAACAGCAGTATCTGGGGTGGTCATTGCAATCCTGGTCGAGCTGTGTTGAGGGTGGTAAAAGAACAAAACGTGGGCTAGCGCCGCAAATGATCTTCATATAGATAAATTGACAACAAAATGAGTGAAAGGAGGCCGCCCGGCGTCAGATGTTTACAGCGTGTTCGGAAAATGATGACAGACGCGATTTTTTTTTCGCTCAAAAAAATAAAATAAAATAAAAAGGTACTCGAGCTTATGCGTCGGATACTGCACATTTGTATGAGATTTTTACCTGATCAGCCAGGGAAAGATGCAGCAGGGCATCTGCAATGATAGCACAAAGGTCCAGGAGGGGTGTGGGGTGTCTGGAACTACTTCAGCTCATCCTAGGGATTATTTCTGGAGCTTTAGGAACAACCTCTACTTGTATATAGCCATTAGGTATGGGATGATTTTCAATAGCAATCAGCACAACATCAAGTGCTTTCTCGTTTGGGCAAATTTTCTTCGGTAGCCGACGCGTACCTTTTGATTTTATTTTATTTTATGGGCTGATAAAAGTTTCGTGATTGTCATCATTTTCCGAACACGCTGTAAGGGAGCAAGGGTCGACAATAACATGAACTGGACGTATCTAATTTATAAACTTGTATATGTAGTTGCAGTATGTTCAAGTGGTATGCTGTAGGCTAACCGGAAGACAGTAGCCTTCAGAGGTTTGGCCTGATCTTAGTAAATTTTAGTCGCAAAGTTGTAACAAAGTGCAAAATGCTGCAAAAGCCTGCAAAAGTATCAATGTCAGCGTCGTCGCGTGTAGATGTCGCGTATCAATGATGAATGTTTCTTGCAAGGGAAAACGGAAACCGTGGATCTCGGGGGTGCTTACCCCGGTACATATCTATCTATCTCCTGGTGCGTATTGAATGATCAAATATGATCGTCAGTGCTTCCGCTCTACCCTCTAAAAAACAGTTCCCGCTTCCTAAGCTTTCATGAGGCTTCCAAAGCGCCGCTGTGTCGGACACTAAGTAGGCGGTGAAAACGCTGCCCGCCAAGTCCAAGTCCAATGCAAGTTTAAGGGACAATGCTAAAGATGACGGATGTAATTCGACAAGATTCGACAAGGGGATTCAACTAGTGGGAGTGTCACATGTCACCAGCCAGTGCTAGTGGCCGCTCCGTCCAGGTCCTGTTCAGAAGAAATCACCTGGAAAGCAACGGAAAGCACTGAGCATCTCAGCAAGAGTTGGCACCATCCTGCACTATCGCAGTAAACTTCCGACATGCGATAAATGTACATACATTCTTAGATCAATGAACCAAGAAAAGAAGAGGAAAAAAGTCCGGAGTTGGTAGACACATGCTCGGGTTAGCATTAAACGCTCGTCAAGATTCTGTATATGTTGGCGGGACATCATCAATCATCCCATCATCTCTAGGTGGTATCCGCACACCACTATCATCGTGTTGGTGTATTTGACTTCTCTGTAACTGTTCGTCCTCCACCTGCAGAATCCGAGGGCGTTTCGACATCACGAATCGATTGGAATCCCATCCGGAAGAGTGCTCTGGGTGGCCCGATGACGAAGAAGATCCTGCTGCACTCGAAGAAGCAGACGGGAGACCTGTATAGGCAGTAGAGTCTTGAGCAGCAGCGTATTTCATGGGAATGTGGGTTGTTCCGGGAGGCGCAGCGGACGTGATGAAAGGAGTTACTTCCAGGGTATCCCCCCCAAACGCGCTTGAACGATAATAACCTGGACCACCTCCCGTAATATCCAACATCATACCACTGTATTGATCTTGTTTCCGTTTCCGGAGATAGTAGAGAAGAGAGAGGAGGGCGGCGAGGCCGATGACCCCGCCTATAACACCTCCTACTATAGAGGCGACATTGCTATGACTTCTACTTGTGGAATCGATTGAGGAGGAGTTGCTCGCATGTTCCAGGGATGTAGAGTTAGCGGGATTTGTTTTAACGATGAAATAGTCAATACTGAGATACTGGGGTGTTTTGCTGCCGTTGTATGAGGTGGCTACTTCGATGTTGTGTGGGGAAGTTGATAGATTGGAAGCGGTGAAGAGAGGGTAGTTTATTATGTTCGAGTAATTGCCGGTGTTCTGTGATTTCGCGCTACCCGGGAGATCAAAGTTTACGCCCGTATTTCCGTCGATGGCGTAGAAAGCTGTACTGGCATTGAATAGAGTAGGAGATCCAAAGTTCACTGAATACAGGGATACAGAGGAACCTTTAAAAAAAGAAGCATTCAAATATCGTACTATCCTGCATGAAGTTGAACATACCATTGAATGCGAAGTTCATGCTTGTGCCCGTTCTCTGTGTACTATTTGATTCGAACCCTTGCCAACTCCAACCTCCAGAGCTATTGCTGTATGTAACTGAAGGATCACTGTTATGTACTCTGAGCATAACAGAATCCAGCGGATCGGACGGTAATGGTTGATATTGAATGCTATCGAGCCAGAGGGACTGCGTGGAATTTGAGGTATCAGTCGGAAGGAAGAAAAGATTTACGTCCAACGTATGGTTGCTCGTTGTGCCCTGCAGAATCCCTGCAGAGTCGCAGGCGATATAGTTGGTAACCTGGTTTGTATTGACCGTGAAACTAGTGATTTGATGGCCGTCCACTGTACAATTCCAGGAATAAGTTGTTCCAACCGCAGCGACCATGGCGCGGACGAAGGTCCCTAGAAGGGAAGTATAAAACCTTTGGTCTCCAATTCGGGCAAAAAACCGGTAAATTACTCACCGTTAAAGGTGTAGCTCAACGAGGCATTTGTGGTGGTCCCGGTGAGGGTCTGGTTGAATACTGGGCCTCCATTACCAAAATAATCTAAGGTTCCTGTCGAATCGAGGGAGAACGCGCTCGATGGCGAGTATTGAATGGTGGGATCCGTGTCATCCACGATAACCAGTCGGGGAACCGACGTGCTGGGAGTAGTCATATAGTAGGTGTGTATCTAGACAGGAAACAAGATAGAGGAAGGGACAAGAGGATATTAGTAGATCGTTGATGAGGATGATCAATGAGCCTGACTCAATGACGAATGCAAACGGTTGCCATCTACAGGCTGGAATGAAGGACGGCAGCAAGGCTGTGTTGTTGTAACTTGTATATTACATTCAGCAACATTGGCGACATCTCTGCAATTGCTTGTATACTTGATCGATGGTGCCTTCGAAAACTTTCAACAGCGTCTGCCTCAGCAAAAAATGTTGAATGACAATGGCTCCCGTTCCGTAGATGTGCCTACATATCTGGATAAACTTAGAACACCGAGTCCACCTCGTGAATGAACATGCTCGACCGACGACAATACGGGCGCTGAGGCAAGTTCAGAGCTGCTCCGTCGACTGCACACGTTCATGAAATACTTGTATACCCGCACGCATGACAATTATTGCCAGACAGATCCTGAATAAGTATAAGTCGAGTTCCGACAGTTCGTAGCGGACAGTGGGTGATTGCAGGAAACACTGCTACATAGCGGAGCGCTGAGGCGGCGGCTGAGCGCTTAAAGTAACGCACAGTCCCGAGCGCCTAAACTTCATTGTGATATACCCCCATTTGGGAAGTAATGTTCTCTTCCGAATCTTACGATTTCGGTGTCGTTCGTGAACGTGTTGTCCTTCATTTGTCTCCTGCAACATCAACAAGCAGCTTCCTTAAAGGCTAATATCTGTGTTTATCGAGCTCTGACGCAGTGGCAGCAGCGCGGGCACACTTTTGATACGTCCTATCACCGTAAACTTTACTTCTTCCGGAATCTTGCCACTTTTTCCCTTGTACTCCACTGGCAAACCACACGATTCTGAATCGAGGTCGACCATCTCACCTAAACATAAAGACAACGACGTCTTTTTCCTAGTAATGAAGACTGAGCACAAACCTTTGGCAGCGTATAGAAGAATCTCATTGATATGTCTCTTTTTACTTCTCGCCGCCTTTGTTCTTCTGTTGCTCGTTGGGATATCACTTCCAATCGTGCATCCGGTATACATTATGCGGGTATACGCAACGCCCACCGGACCAGCGACCTCGTTGGATACAGAGTTAAGGTTCGGAGTATGGGGAGTATGTGCTTATAGGTTTGTGTTGATTTACAATTGTAACGTCACTTGTATCTAACGCGTAATTTACAGTCAACTTAACCCTCCTTCTGTACTTCATGATACCGGTCTATGTTATGGACCCAGACTTGGATATCAAAACGTTATACCCTCTATAATCCTTTCCGAAATTGGATTATCCCAAGCTCTGTTAGATGCAGCACTGAAGGGCTTACTCGCTGTGCTCATCATACACATAATAGCTGCAGGATTCTCTCTCGCCGCACTCTTCACATCGCTCTTTTTGGCCTCGCGCAGCATGACCATTCTCTCACTCGTGTTGACTGTCATAACAGCTATCCTGAGCTCGGTGGTATTTGCAGTTGACGCAGTGGTAGCAGAAGTGGCAAAGTCGAAGATACCTGCCTTAACTTCAGGCGATCTGACTGTAGGAGTTGGGAATGCTGTATGGATGGTTCTAGGAGCATTGATAGCGTCATGGCTTGGGGTGATATTACTTTCTGCCAGGGCGTGCTTTTGCTGTGGTGTTCGAAGGTAAGTTTAGTCTCTACTTTCTCAAAACAATCCACTCAACCTGTTCCAGACGATTTTACGAGTTTGAGAGGGACAAATACTAAACGCACTGGCGTAAACGGTTTACGAATCCTTTTTGAATGCATGACGATGATGTTCTTTTACGAACGACTGATAGGAAGGAATTTATACCTCAGCCTTCTCAGATACCATTAATTATCTACGCTGGATATAGACACTTCAGAATTGAATTCACATAATCATTACAATGAATGGACGAAGTAGCTTCGTACAAATTTCACATGACCATATCTTCACTCTTGAGTCTTAACCATCTTGTCCAATTACTACAGATGATGAAATGAGTCTACCTTTAAAGCTCTTTTCCATCCTCAGCTGGCTATCTCTTGTTATTGCAGATGCGACGAACAACACCACTGCCGGGTATTAATTTCTTATTGGATTGTACAAAAACGTTCAATTGATACATTCTCCAGGGTTCCTAATGATCCTTACCTCCAATACAAGCCTGAATTTGCCCGATCTCTACCTGTACAGACTCTAGTCACCGGTGTTGTCTTTACTCTCGTCGCTGTTCTCTTCGTCCATATCGTCTTTACCGGGCAGTACCACTGGCCGCTTGCGCCAGTGAATTATGCCCTCCAGCTCTCAGGCGTCGTCACTCTACTCGTATCCCTCATTGCAACCATTCATGTGATATTCTCATCAGCGATACACGAGAGCCAGCATTGGCCATATATGCTCAGTTATATCGCAGTCAATGTTCCTCCGTTGGATATGCTCAATGTGGCCCCCGATCCTGACAGCGACACTCCGTCATCAGAAATCACTTGGTCACCTGCAGAGAGAGGAACTTGGTTAATGATGAATGCATCGGTCTCCGCATTGGCGCAAGTATGTATGGTGTTTTCCAATCCAGTTCTCGAGTTTATATCTGCACCTTTCTAGATAACTCATATCCAATTCTTGACCTTATTATATCCCTCACGACTTGAAGGTCGTCTGATCTACTGTCTGCTCGGTGCGTAACTCTAACGTCGCAGCTAATCCTTCTATATCATTGTTTTAGGCCCTCTTGCGGTCCTGGCAGCGATCATGCAACTCATCCCCATCCAAGCGAATACTAACTTGATCAACATCGCCAACAACATCCGCAACGTCTGTAACGCTACTCTCTCCTTACTATTCACCGCATCGCTTTTCATCTGGGGTCTTCTTGTCAATCGTTCCCAAGCATGGCGTACGGACGGAGGCACCGCTGTATTCGGTGCCAGTGCTCTCAGTCTGGCCATGGTGAGCACCGCACTCAACTTCCTCTATGTTCCCAAGAACGAGGAATATGTATGGCTTCCTGGTCTTATCTGGGCTGTCATCCTATGGCAAAGTTTCTTGGGATGGTGGTGGTGGGTCGGCGCAGGGAACGGCCAATCGACAGAAGATGCTGTTGAACAAGTGTTCAGAAGAGGCGATAAATTTTGGAAGAAGAGACGCAAGGCAAAGTCGAAGAAGGATAATATCAAATCAACTTCTCAGCGGGGTACGGATCCCGAGTGCTCTGATGAGCATGTGGCGAGTGTGAGCGGTAGAAGCTCGCTCAGCGATGATTCTACTTCCCATAGTCGAACTATATCCGCTGGCGCGTCCGCCGAATCTCCACCGGTTCGTCGTCGGGCCCGTCGTGCTCGTTCCAGTGGTTCTGCAACTTCCATGTCAACCGAAGAGAGTATAACCACCCTTCCTCGGTTCCTCCCTCAAACTGTTCATGCGTGGTATAATAATCTCCGCCAGGCTCATGTCACAGCCGCTCGCCGTCAGACTGTTGAAAGAGTGGAGCGCATCCGCGAGATTGAGCGGGGAAGAATGGATTCAAGTGGTGAAGTTCCGAGTGGATGGGGTTTGGGGAGCTTTGGATGGAAGGTTGGGAGAAGTCAGGTTGCTCAGTACGAGATGGAGAGTAATCCCCGACGAAGACGTAGGAGTGACGAGCGCGAACAGCGTGGAACTGGGAGTGAAGACGATTTCAATAATATTCACTATCCTCCATCATCGTCGGCGAAATTGAACAAACAAAACACGACTACCTCCCCACGGCACAGTACCCGTGTGGAGGATAGTCGACCCAAGTCGATATGGTGGTGGGGACCTCTAAATCGATGGAGACTGCAGGATTCCACTACCTACCATTAAAATTTGTAATCATGGATTTACTTGATATATTTTCCTTGTTATTAGCATCTGTTTCCTCTCTGTTGTATGTATGTATGTTAATAAGGTTCACTCATGATGGTGTATGATTAAGTATTGGGAAATTTCCGCTGTGATAATGACATAACAAGAGGTCGAGACTATTACACTCTACAGATTTCCTTTCAGGCTGTTCAAAGCAAACGGAGGAAACTGTACTTTTCCTTCTGCCCAGTCCTTAATCAACACACCAGCAATGGCAGTTGTTGGAGGGACTCTGAACGGCGGGTCATTCGCGTCCTTGTTCAACTGTGAAGAGGCTTCTGCGAGCTTGGCCAAATCCAGATACGACCCGGTAGCGTGATTCAAGACAGACATGACTTCTTCGCGAGTGAACCAACGAGCATCTGAATGACAACAACGACGATGAGTGCTGCTTTGTAGACGATGATGAGCGAAAATATACCTGAAAGCTCGTTATCGAGATCTACACGGACGGGTTGCGTCGAATCAGCTCGTGCGTAGAAACCACACATCAAAGAAGCTGGGAATGGCTACATGATATCAAAATTATCAGAAAGTTCTAGGTCCAAGGCGAATATAGCTCTCGTACCCAAGGTTGACCAGAATGGTATTGAACATCCCAGGCTTTGACACCAGCTTCCTCCCACATTTCACGCTTCACGGCATCCTCGAATGTCTCTCCTGGCTCAATAAAACCAGCCAAAGCAGAGTAAAATTGTCCTTTGAACCGATTCTGAAGATTGGAGAAGGGAGAATATGAACAACAGAACAGACTTCGAGACAAGTGACTTACGTTCTGTCCCAGAAGGATTTTTTCACCGGTCTCATCAACTGCGAGCATGATAACCACGGGATCACTGCGTGGGTGGGTAAAGTTATGAAGTCCTTTGCTATTGAAGCAATGTTGATGGTTGAGCTGCGGTAAGATAGAAATCGGTAAACATACCCAGACGGACATGGTTTGCGACCAGTGTTGTCTGACCAAGGCATGAGCGTAGAACATCCAAACTTCCAGCCACCCCAAAGTGAATGTTGTCGTGAACCACAACCTGGACAAAACTATCAGAGAATTTAAGAAATTCCTAATCATGAGTTAGAATAAGGTCTTCCGCGTACCTTGTTTCGCGTATTCCAATCAACCATACTCCTGGCTTCCGCAAAGATGGCACCATCAAACAAGTTTGCGTTTGTCATGACAGATCGAGCATCTAACCACGTCAAGGTTGTTCCAGCTTTGGTGACCTCGGTCTCCTTTAAGGCAGTCTCTATCGCTGAATCTTCCATCTCTAGATCAGCGACGTCCATGGCGAAATATGGTACACCTTCGAGCTTGGCTACGGCTTTCTCTGCATCGATGAAATCACTACTGGGCAATGCCCCACTGCCCGAAGAAGTGTTTTCGTGTAATCCCAGAAAGACGATAGGTGACCCGCGGTGTCGAACTCCTTCAGTAGCAGTTATTTGTTCCTCTGAAGTCAATAGACCTGATTCCTTTCCCTGACCAAAATGCGGAGCCTCCCCGATGAATGGACCAACGTCTTTTGTGGAGAGATAAGCTAAAATGGATTTGCCTTCGGATTTAGAGGTGAGAGGGTTTCCAGATTTGAACAAAAGCCAGCGTGATTTGGGAGAAACTATGATAGAATTGAGGAAAGAATGAGATGTACGCAGCCAGGACAGCCGATTGAGAGGCGATCCTGCAAACATGATAGTCCGTCTGTGCAGGAGGTTAATGGAAGTCTGGGAGCAGTAGAGAAAATAAAATACTGTTCTGTCATCTTTGCAAGGGTATTGGCGATAACTGAGCGAATTGAGGGTAGAATGGTTGCGATATTGTCCAAGCTCGTCTCTCACAATGAGAGAAGGGCCTCAGGTTGAATTTGTAAGAACGATTCATAATCACGGTGTAAAGGTTGTATAAGTATCGCTCGGTTTTAACCCCGGCCCGACTGGTGAATGAACAGACAATCACCCAGGGAACCTTCGGAATTTCATGGAAACTGGTCTACATAAACGGATGAGAAAGCAGAGGTTGTTGTGGTACGGATGTATTCGGTCACGCGTCGTTCTGACAGAAACATTCACCGGTGTTCGTAATTTAAAAACGAACCTGACGGATTGGGTCAAGAATTAATTACACCAGGATTACACGGAAGGTTCAGAGAGGGTTGAGGTTCGGATTGATGTTTTCGGAAACTTTCGGAGGCAAATTAACAATGATGCTCGGAACAAGAGGTCTTGAGCGAATGCATGAACGCTTAAGCCTCCGGGATTGGTCTGCTTGAACATGCACACGCACACAACGGACCGAAATCAACAACCGATAAATACCACTTCTAACTCGGTATTTTCCGGTAAACACATCTCGAAACACCGTCATCCTGAAGAACCCACTCTCTCGCCAGCTTATATCCCTTCTTCCTTGGAAGCCACTTGACCCAAAAAAACCAATACCCAATGCCCACCATCGATACGGAGAACGCAACCAACACATGGGACTGTTGGATCGAAGAAGAAGGAAATGGGAGCGTTTAGATTCAAGACGACCCTCAGTCGTACAAACTCACCCAATACGGAAGATGCTCGTACGTCCGCGACCCAGAAGCTGGCGGTATCAATGGAACAATCACGAGGAAGAGATTAGAGATAGCAAATAGCACGACGACGAGCTTCGGAGCACGGAATGGGGGTTTCCAGGCATATGCTCGGAGATATGATGTGTATAAGAGAAGTAGACCAAACGAAACAAGGGTGTTGATTAAGGCAGCGCAGTAGGAGGATACTGGAAAAATTTTATTGATGAAGAATTGTCAAGGCGAGATGAAATGAAAGAACGATCTTACTCACAACTGATCATAAATAAATATGCGTCTCCGGGCGGCGGCAAGATCACGAATGCTACCGAAACCACGTATTGCGTGAAAAGTCCTGCTAATGGTGCGCCAAATGGCTTATTTGAAGCAAAGAACCCAGAAAACGGGAGGAGCCCTTCTCGTCCGAGTTCTTGTACCACTGGAAGTTGACCATTAGCAAACCATGTTTTTGGATATACAGTAAGCAGGCCTATGTACCGCGACCTTGACTGAATTGCCCAGAAAGGAGATTACCCAAGGTGGAGAATGCGATGAAGACACTTAGGGCCTGCAGCATGCAATGAGGATCGAGCGTCGCACTGTACAAGATCTCTAGACTCACACGTTCCGTCCCTTCGCCGAATAAATTTCGAAAGAATAGCGCCCTATTTTGATTTTTCGTCAGCAGTGAGACACTATAAGGAACGATCTAAAGACAAGTGAAGGGCTCACGCCACGATGCGTTTGCTGCTTAGAATATCATTCTTGGATACGACGGCGAAATACGCAATGTTGACGAAAATATAGACCAAAGTGACCGCAGACATGGCCATCGGCGCCGCACGCTTGATCGTACGTACGGGGTCGCGTACTTCAGATAGAGCGTAGTTGGCTGTGGAATATCCAACAAAAGACCTTGTAGAGCATAGAAGTTAGAAACGTTGGGCATATATATGACTTATATGCACGAACCAAATCACATTATACAGCCCCGTTACAAACGCATTTGCATCCCCTCGACTTCCTTCCCACATTTTATTCCATTGAAAGTTATTTGGAGCTTCATAATCTTCCTTGACAGCAAAGCCCGCTACACCCGCAAGACTTAGAATTCCACATAACGCTATCGCGGATAGGATGAGCAACTTGAACATTGCGAGTGAGTTTTGCAGGCGTAGTCCCCATTTCAGTAATGAACCGTGGAGGAGAAGAATGAATGTTAGGCAGAGGAAAGCCACGAAGCGGGTGTTAAGCCATGTTGGTTCTTTTGCCAATGCGTGAATGACATCTGTTGTAGGAGGTGATATGAATGAGTTCGGGCTTGCGTGGATCTGAAAGATAGAGGAGAACATACATTCGCCAAATACTACACTATTCGCAGCTGCTGATCCCTTTGGAATAAGCAGAAGTTGAATAAACCTTGACCAGAGGCGACGTATGACTCACAGTGATAACGGCGTAAATGGAATATGTGCAAGTAACCAAGAATTCAGGTCTTCGATAGATGAATTCCAGATAATTCTTCTCTCCGCCACTTCGAGGAAGACCCTGTATAGGATTGACTAGAACGGTAAACACTTCTTGCGTACTATAGCTCGAGATGTGGTTGATCACTCACAGTCCCAAGTTCAATGAATACTGTGGTTCCCATTGCAGCTATTAAAGCACCGAGGAGCCACATGAGGAGAGCGACGCCTACGCTGCCTGATGTTCGAAGGATGACACTTGGTGTTGCATAAATTCTGGGAGAAGCATCAATACTTTGAATCCGCGTATAGAAAGCGACGCACCCTGTCCCGATGACACGGTTGAAAATAAGAAATATAGCGCTGAACAATCCTACGGGGTAGGGTTACAGATTCAATGTGTGCTTAGAAGACCCGGCATCCTCCTTGTTTTCCAACTGACCTAATTGTCGTTTTGTTCGAGGAACATTGTCGAAAGATTCCCCATCATTCGTCGTGAACGTCGTTGAATCTTCATCATTAGTATGTGGAACCTTTCCAGGTATACCCGCCGGGTTGTTCAAAGCTCCATTGTAGTTACTGCTAATATCTTGAATAAGAGGTGTCCTTTCCGAATTGCTTGATAGGTCTACTTGCATTCCAAGACTTTGTAGGACGGTGGAAGATAAGGAAGTAACTAGAATCCCACGTGATGGTCAATGGGAAATATTGATATCGGGCACTTGTGTCGCGAATGATGTCTAACCAAGTGGATACAAGAAAAATTGTTACACTGATAAAAGTATAAACCTCAATTACAGAATATGTAGATGTACAATGTTGTCCAACCATACTCAGGCACCTACGGCCTCTGTTGGAGCAGCGGGTACAGCTACAGGGGTCGGCATCTTGGATGGAGCTTGAGCCTTTGAAGACTGTGCGTCGGTTGGCGACAACTTTGCCTTTTTCTTCTTCTTCAGCAAAGCTACAATATTGTTAGCTTTGATTATGATTAGAGGGACTGGTAACTTACCTGCAGAAACAGCACTCTTCACATTGTCAACGAGCTCCCGACTTTGCTCTAAGTACTCAGTATCATCGAAACGATGCTTCTTGCCAGCCAGTTTCGCAGGTTGCTCCGTGGATGAGGACCCAGTTCTGGAAGGTCCCGCGCCTGTAGAGGGGCTATCTATACCAAGTCTTCGCTCCAAGGCCTCGAGTTTCGCCTTCTGAGCTTCAGCTTTCGCAGCTAGGCGTTCAGGCTCTGATTCGAGGTATTCGGCAAGCCTAGAGAAGTATGAGTAACATTGACAGTAGAGAGAAAAGAGATCTCACTTCTTCGCTTCTTTCAGTGTACTTAACCTCCTCCCACTGAGGTCCCGACAGGAATCATTGTTATTCGTCTTTTGGCTACTCATCCGTCCACCCGCAGCACGAAGCTGGGAACCAAAACCTCCCTTTCCACCAAGGACTCGAGGAGAAAGGCGAAGAGAGATCAGGTTTGGGCCATTTTCGCACAATGAGGCGAGTGAAGAATCTTCGGGAGTGATTCCGGAGTGAGTAGAGAGAATAAGACCAGATGAAGGAAGAAGAGGATATTTCTCGGTGAGAAGAGAAAGGACGTCAGATATTTGGGTAACTGAGGGCGCCGCAAGGGTCAAAGTGCCGAAAGGAGCAAAAGAGGAGACAAGTACGTTGGTGATCATGGCTGCAGAAACAAAGTGGTGGTACAGCACACGTGATTATTGGCAAAGCTCTCTCATCTGACGGCGAACCTCAGCGAAAGCTTTTGCAGTCAGATTTTGCGTCGCTATTCTGGATTCAGGAGGCAGACAATGTTTAATTTGAGGTACATTTTGGTCAAAATACAGACATGATAATCTACAAGTTTCGAAAACATTTTGATAACATCGAATACAACAGTGGCAAAACACTCTACACTCCATTCCTCTCCATTCAAACTCCACCTTCGTCTTTAATGAGGCTTTGGCTTGCGTGAGTCTGTCTAGGGATTCTAAAATTGCTTATAAGACTGCCAGGTTCCGTAGACTCACCATTGGCAGGCATTGACAACTGTAAACCACAAAAGACCATGAATCGATTCATATTTCCGCGTTTAGTAGTACTCTCAGAACTGTCAATGCCATAGTCCGCAACCAAGGCCTTACAGGTATCGGCTTTAATTAATAGCACCAGCAGAGCAAACAACAAAGCACAGCCAACAACGAGGGTTTACCCGTAAGTGTTTGGTTTGTTTCAAGCTGAGGAAGGACTGACCGTCGAAACTGGTGAGTTCATGCACTGTTTTTGGAAAGTGTTTGCTGATCTTCCCGTCAGAACAATAGATGGTGTGCAGCGGTTCATTAATGCTTCGCTCGTTGAGGAGAGAGTTTAATCTCTTGCTTTCGCTACACGAAAACATAGGGTAAGTAAATCCTCGCCCAAATTCAACCAGAAATGATCAGCATACGAATTATGGAGATCACGATGAACCTCATCCAATTCCTTCTTGCGCTCTCGCAGCTCTTGCTGCAATTGTGATGAAATTGAGCTCTGGAGGTACGCTTGAACTTCCTCCTTGACTATCATATCCATATTGCCTTCTATTTCTTTGTTCACTTGGTTGAAATGGCGTAAGTAAGCCCAGTGTACTTGAACAGTCTCGCAGACCTACCCTGTTCTTTGATTTTCTCCAAGGCCTTCTCGTCGATGAAATTTTTCATGAGCACTGTACCCAGGACAACCCCATGAGTGAATTATTTGAGCGTGAAAATGCAATAAAAGATACTTGCAATCTATCTCCTCAGTCCCGTGGACTTGATCTTCCTTAATAAGGGCAAGAGCTTTGCGGATTCTACAAAGCAAGTAAATGGCAAACACAGCGCCACAAATTCAGCTAAGACACGACGCAACGCTGAACCGCTTGAAAAGTACATACTCTTCGAGTTCATTGTCCAGTTCGCTGTTATCGAGTTGGCCGTTAGTTATGTTTCGTAGGCTTTCCTGTTGGGTTCGTAACATCAGCTCCAGAACTTCTAAGCAATCAATCGTTCCTCGTACCTCAAAGGCGTTCAAATTCTCGTGTATCATTGCTATCGTATGCTGTACTTCAAAGAAGTCCGATGAGCCGTTGGAGGGTGCGATAGGGATCTCAATCTCTGTATGCGAGGAAACAGATGTTTTCCTGCTCAGTGACGATGAGGTGGTGGATGAAGCGAAAGAAAGAGCCGAAGAGTCTAAGGTTGGAGGGTCCCCAGATTGCATTCTTGTCTTTGTGTACGATTTACGATAAATTTAGTCAATGCGCAGGCTGTGAGTCAAATGCGCAGGGAAGTGAATTATCCAGATCATCGGTTTGGAGTTCAAATGCTGTTAAAGAGTGAAGAGACATCACCCATGAGGGTTCAACGTGTTGAATGATATTCGACATCGCTCTTCTTATAGAATCTTCTGGGATCGATGGAAGTATTGGTCATGGAGGATAACGTGGAATTATTGAAGCACGAATCGCGTGTAAGCCCTATAAGTCCTGTAAGCTATATAAATGATGATGATACAACAATGGTTGCAAGATAATTAAGATCTAAGTGTTGAGTCGAGTGCGTTTTTATGCTTTTAGCTTATATCTTATTATTAGGCGGAGGTGGTTCCTTGGCGGCTTCGACCTCCTCGACTTCCTCCTGTTCTGTTACCTCCGCTTCTTCCGAAGCAGGCTCACGACTTGGAGGTGGCGTTACGGGACGTTGCGTGCTAGCGGCATGGAGTTGTTCTGCCATTAACGTTCTAAATCGCGAGGACGGGTCGTTTACCTGTACGAACAAAGATGTCAGTAACCCATCGCGAAGGCTTGACACGTATCGTACCAGTTGGCGGTAAGTTCCCGATTCCGTTATTCGTCCACCTGTTGAGAGAATCCTGTCAGGTACTGAATCATTGGAAGAAAGCGAGATATGAACCTTCTAGAACAACAATTCTTTCAGCTCTCGCTATCGTACTAAGCCGATGTGCAACGAAAAGACAAGTGGTTTGTCTTTTTCTCAGAATCTTGTCGACAGCATCGTTGACTCGATTTTCGGAATTTGCATCTAGAGCACTGGTCGCTTCGTCTAGAGCAAGGATCGCAGGTTTTTTGAGTAATGCTCGAGCAATGGCTAGACGTTGACGTTGGCCACCACTCAGACTGAGTCTACCGACTGGAAATGGTCCGTTAACGGTCATGTGTATGAATTGTGACCCGGGATACCACTTACTCTCAGTATCAAAACCCTTTGGCATTCCCCATACAAACTCGCAGTTGGCTTCTCTCGCAGCATCCTCAATTTGCTCTCGGGTAGCAGTGGGATTACCGAAAGCGATATTGGAAGCAATTGTGCCAGTGAATAGGACAGGGTCCTGAGGGACAATTCCTATTGCGTTCCTCCAAGAGTCTAGTCTGAGTTCCCGAATGTCTGCCATGGAGTTTTTAGTAAGAGTTAACCAGTCAGAAAGGTTCAAAGGGCAACGTACCTTGTCCATCGAAGGTGACCTTCCCTCTGACAGGATCGTAATAACGTAGAAGCAGGGATTGGACGGATGATTTGCCACTTCCACTTGTTCCGCTATATGACAATCGTTCGTTAGTTAGTTAATATCTGCTCTTTCCGAGCAAGTCCTGGAATCAACGTACACGATAGCCACGCTTTCTCCAACGCCGATCTCCAAATTGAAATCATTCAAGATTTCAACGCCCCGCCGACTCGGGTATTCAAATCCTACACGCTCGAATCTCACGGGACCACGGCGATGTGGGTCGAGCACTACACCGGAATTTGTGGGAATCGCGGGTTCACGGCCTAGTAGTTCGAATACTCGATTGCCGGCGCCAATTCCGCGCATAATGGACGACTAAGGCAGATGCCCATTATTTCATGTTGACGGGAAAGGTTGAGTCAAAGTAAAGAACGCACGAAGAATGATCTGGAAGTCGTTTACTGGTTTAGCGTAGATTCATCACGACAGACAAAACGCTACGCACGTTAACATCTGCAAACCACTTCCAACGTAGACAGTATATAAAAGAAGACTAGTTAGGTCCCCGACGGTAATTTCTCCTTGCGAAACGAGTGAACCACCTACGAAGAACGAAGAAAGAAGGAGAGTAAGAAAAAGATTATTTGTATGATCCAGCAAGGTGACAAACACGCACCATATCCCAGGAGCGCCAAGATCGTAACATTACCACTCCATCCTGTACTTCCAAAGAATATACCGCTCGCAACTGCTTCCTTTTTAGCTAAACTCAAGACATTGGTGACTTTTTCATGGAATTTTTGTTCTTCTTGCGGCTGAGCGTTGTATGCTTGAACAGTTCGTAATGCGGAGAGAGATTCCGTGGCATGCTTAGACATTTCACCCATGGCTTCTTGGGTGCGGTTGGAAAGGCGTTTGAGGTAGCGACCGTAGAATACCTTTCAAGTTGTCAGAGAAGGTGTTGAACAGAACCTGGGAGTACAGAATGAGGGAACCCACCACACCGAAAGAGACAGGGGGGACGACACATAACATGAGGGTTGTTAGAGTTGGAGATAGGTAGAACATGGCTCCCACTTGGGTAACGATTGGTATAGATTCCGGGTGGACAAGGTAATTAGAACTCACACCCAACGGATGACATAACGATAGCACGTAGTCCGTCCGAAAGGTTTTGTGTGACACTGAAGAAGATTAGTATGAATTAAGGGAGAGAGAAACTGCTTCGCACCTTTCACCCACGATAGTGGTATCAACGCTCAGCCGACTGAGCACGTCTCCCTCGCCGCGCTCGACAAATTCAACCTCTTGATGCAAAGCCGCACTGTATGTCTGCTCACGTAGTCGCGCTACTATCCGCTGTCCTGTAAGGAGAAAATGAATGAAGCAAATAATGAGAGATGTCAAAGACTCGAACCTGACATCCTCATGAGGTACGTGCGTCCTGCATTTGCGGCTGCACCGGCACTAAAAAGAAATAGTAGAACACCTGACGCTTGCCATATCGAAAGACCAAGAGGAATTTGCTGTTCAATTAAGGAGAAGTTTGATGCAGCAAGAAACCAAAGAGACTTACCGGGTTAACAGAGGAAAAGAAATCGATGAGCTTCCCGATTGTGAATGGTATAGACATAGTGACAGCAGATGATAAGAGTAGTAAGCCGACAGCAGTGGTAAGTGGTTTCCGCTCCGGTTTCGCTAATGCTACTATTTTGCGGAAAGATGATGCTGTGACGGATGGACCGGAAGGAAGGAAGCGGGAAATAATTCCAGGTTTAACTGGCTCTGAAGACTTTCGTGGTGTTGACTGAGTGCTGTATGCCCTTGTTCGAAAATATATGCCTACTCCGGTAAATGAACGCGTATTCCGAATGAGGGAAGTTGGTAGAATGGAATGTAGGCATCTTGGGCGCAAAACAGCCAGAGAGCAGATACCGCGAGAGCTAGCGGTGCATACCGGCACGCACAGCATGTTGGGTTGAGCCTGGAGACCTGAAAGTGAAAGAACACCCTCTGATGCTCACTACGAAGGTGTAAGGGAATATTGTGCGGCAGGCAAATGCGTCAGTCTGGCGTTTACATTTAGCGCTTATGTTAGTAATTATCACAGGTTTATCTCTACACTGGCACAATCCAGTGATTCGAGTGAATCCACTTGCCTGCGCCAATAGAAGATTCCAGGATACTCCCAGCCATGAACAGCCTGTCGGTGCGCATAGTTGAAAAAATGACCGCTCCTAGCTAGCGCTCGCCGTTTGTATCAGCAATATTGCAAGCGGAACCGCTCAGCAGGCGTGCTTCGACAATATACAAGGACTCGTCGTCTCGATCCAATTAGCGGCGTACCCTTCATTATCCATAAACCAATTCAAAGTGTCTCAAGTTATGGTCACTATTCTTTACTATTCGTGATCATCCAGGTTCTACCAAAGTTCTATCATTTTATCCGACCTGATCTTGTCAACGTGATGGTCTCCAGCCATATATGCAGGATATATGTTGCTCAAAAGGTTAAAAGTTGTTAGGGATGAAAGCTTTACATCGTTCGAGGCCAAGCGAGGGCATGCAACGGACATGGATCTACTACGTTGGCTGGAATTTACAATCAAACGAACGAAACCAACCTTGTTCATTTCCAGGACATCTGGGCGACGGTTTTCCTTGCAGCCTGGCGAAATACCACCCCACTCGTAGAGCCTGTGGTGAAACATGTAACCGGCGACCAGTAGTTTCAGTTTGAGAGTGTAATTTGGCGCCCACGCGTTAATTGTTCACAAGTCAAAGCGTGATATACTGTACCAAATAGGGACTATGTAAATTATAAGCGGTGACGGGCAGCTGCGAAAGCAGATGTAGAGTTCAGTGATCCAGGATCCTACCCATACCATAAATGTTCATTTATCTGTCTATATGGGTTGGGATCCTGTTCATAAGGATCACAAAGCTGAACTGCCGCTGCAACTTAGGTTGCAAAATGATTACACGAACTTAGGCTCAGCCCGGCCGTCGTGTGAGGTGAATACCTTAGTCTGACAGAGGGGGATATTAAAAGAGCGGCCCAACAGCGGGTGATAAGTGTCCAAGAAGGAACTTACTGGATTATAGTCATTCTAAGGCACTTCGGTGATCAAAAACTGTGAACTTTTTGTTATTATTTGCTATTGATAAAGAGCAGACAATATCTGATTTAGAGGTCATGACGTCCTTCCAAAACGATAAATCATACTACCCAGACGAGGATTCATCAAAGATAATAAATCCTTCCATTTAATGGGTGGTTCAGTCGGATTGTACTAATACATAGATCTTTACGGATACTGTTATTCCATCACACAAACTTATTTTGCAAGATTCGTCAGAGCATCAGCATATGCGTCGTTCAAAGTAACAGCAAACTGGGTGGCTTGTGGGACGACTTCCGCCTACAACATGTACCAAGTCATTCACAGTATCACTGGACGATATCTTTACGAACGACTCACAGGAGTAATGGAACTGATAGCAGTCAAGAGAGCCGCGGTACTGCTCTGTAACTCGCGAATGTCTTGTTCCGCGATTGCAGTAGCACCCCGGATTCCAGAAAAAGATGTAGATTTTTCGGATATTTGAGTCAGACCGCCTACAAGCGTGGGCGAAGAGTTCTCGATCTGGCCAAGGAGGACGAGCGCATCCATGTCGGTGGTTAGAGGGCTCGTCGCCTGTGATGTTTGTCGTCAAAAAAATATGCACGGTATCGTATGTAGAGTAAGGAGAATAAATTGATATGCGTACCTTGGTATCGGTTGTAGCTTGGTTAAGAGCCGAGACGAGCTGGACTGCGGCGGAGTGAATGGCCTAAAGCGTGATACACTCAGCCCACAAAATGGAGAGAGTAACATTTACGTGGACGTACATTGGCTTGATTGGGAGTACCCTTAAAGGCGTTGACACTGTTATCCCAGGTCGAGATCAACGCGTCGACTTTGGTGATATCCGACTGGATCTTTGCTAGGGTTCGTTTGACTGGCGACGCGGAGACTACTAGGAGACTCAAGGCAAATGAGAGGAGTGGGGTAATTCGGACCATGTTAACGTAGAGCAACGATGGAAGCACGCTCGAGATCAGTCATTCGTTCTGTCGCCTTTTATGAAAAGCCGTTCACGCTTAACATTGAGATGTAATAGAATCACTTACCGTAGCCACTTTCGCCTACACAAAACGACACTGGATCTCACCCTCTTCGAAGATTTGAACAAGGTTGAGCTGGGATATTGACTTGGCAATTCAGGGACTGGCAAAAAGACATGAACATGCCCGATACAGTTGCTCGTACGGGTCTCCCGATGGCCTGGAAGTAAGGTCGATTAGAATGTTGATACAGGGACACATGCAAGAACAACGCACCAAAGAAGACCAAAAAACTCAGACGATAGAAATTCTTCAGGGGGCGAAAAGCGAGCAGACACGGTGTTTTGGAATGAGTTATTGATGATTCGACGGGACCGTTGCGTTCATCAAGTGATAATCTGTAACAGTACGGATCATTCCTGATCCGGACCGACCCCGACTCGTATATAAGGACTGTATGTTTGTAGAGTAGCGTTAGTTCTCTTCCAATCGCAGCGCTATCCCTGTCATTGCGAGCGACTCTCAGTGTGACTACGTCACATATTTTTGACAGTACAGCGACTACTACTTTCTCCTCTTTTCTACTCTCTCTCGAAAACTACTCAAAACAAAACTCTGGTCGTCGTTCAGGATCCCTCTCAGCTTGATCACCTGGGCTTTTCCGACATCGACCTACTCCCCTCTTCAAAGAAATTTTCTCAAGAAATTTTCCATCAAAAAATGTCTTCGGATGTACCTTCCCGAAACACCCGGTCCAGACGTCTAGGTATGGGCGGTGCTGGTACCGACGGTGCCAAAGGTAAGTCTTCCGACATTCAATTCACTCAAAATTCCACAGCCACCGATTCTGCTAAGGATTCGGCGGCGCAGGATAAGCCTTCCAGTTATGATGAGGTGTGTAGTAGTCATCCCCTCAGGGATGCTGCTATCCCTCACACAGTTTCCACTGCCAACGCTTCCAAAGCTGCGGTTGGGACTGTGGGATCAATTTCGGTTGCCCACAAGGGACAAACAACTGGGGTTGGTCCGGGGTTGGTTTCCCAGGGTGGAAACAACCCCACCGGTTCTGCTAATGCAGATGAGGTCAGTAGCGAAGATGTAAATCGCAGTAATGTAGATGAAATTAATGAAAATTCCTCGGGACTTTCATCTGCACCTGACTCTGAAGATGACGGACAAGGTCCGTGGACTACAGTACAATCTCGTAGGTCCAAGAGTCTTGACAATTTGAAGACCCGGAAGGATTTTGATTTCTTCAAGCCTGATAAGCTCACTAAGGAGCAAAAGGCCACAGTGAAAGCTGCTGAGCAGAGAATGACTCCTGCTCAGCGTGAGATTATAAACAATCGAAACATTGCTATTCAGAAACAACAGCAAGCCCGCAGCTATTCTAAGCCGCAAGAAGTAGGCCCGTCATCGTATGTGACAAAGGGCAAATTTGTGGATCACAACAATGAAGTTTGTGATGCCGAGCTCAATATTGAGGTGCAGAAAGCCGAACTCAATCATTGGAACACTGCCCATGGCTCAATTGGTGCAAAGAACATCTCTAGTGATGTGGAGTCAGAGATATCTGACAAAAGTCGACGTCGGCTCCGTAAGAATTACCATCATAAAAATGGATCCCAGCGGCGCAAGTCCCGGAATAGTAAGAGCGAACACTCAAACTCGGGAACTGATGATAGTGCCAATGAGCATAAAAAGACTAAGACATCTTCGAGAAGTATTTTTAAGGATGTCGAATCCTTGAAACCTATTTCTTCTCGCTTTGCGAAGAAGATCAAGGATATTGCCAAGGGTCATCAGACCACGTCGAAGTCCACTACTCACCATGGTAGACACCTGTCGACACAACCTGTTGACCAACTTCCGCAGGATAGCTTGCTGGCACGGATGATAAAGACCAAGAAACGGTCCAAGAAGTCAATCAAAAATCATGAATCGAGCTCTGATTCTGATGCAGACTCAGAGTCCTCGGACTCTGAATCACGCTCTGAGTCTATGAGCTCAAACGGTTCTTCGAGTTCCTCCTCCGAGGAATTAGACAGTTCAGATGAGTCTGTCCAATATAGAAAGCGACACCGTCATCGCAGCCGCTCCCACAGCCAAAAACGCGGTGGAAGGAAGTCCAAGAAAAGGACTTACAACCGGATTATCAAACCTGTCCCACCATCGATATGGAATGGTGAAGCTGATGCCGAGGTATTCCAGAGGATTGTGCTGGAAGGATATCAGTTCTGCAAAGAAGGAAAAATACCTAAGAATGAGCGGGTATTTTTAATCTCGCACTATCTTTCAGGCAAAGCATATCAATTCTTTGCATTAAAAGTTGCTAAGAATCACAGCAAGTGGTCATTACAGGAATTTTATGAGGGCCTATTCAACTACTGTTTCCCTGTGAACCACCGTGAGCAAATGCGAACAAAATTACGGAAATGTTACCAGAATGGACGTACTGTTTCTGAGTATGTCCATGAGCTTGAGAGTATCATGGATCACGTCGGTATCATGAGCCAACGTGAGAAAGTTTTGAAGCTCTGGGATGGCTTGAGCCCCGGTATGCGATATGAGCTCAAACGTGCTCGGGTTAGTAAGGAAGTCCATTCCTGGCGCCGTATTGTGCACGAAGCTGAACTTATTGAGCTAGCTGGGTTTGAAAAAGATCCCAGTCCTCGTTTCGCACCAAAACAGTCAGACCGTCCTAGAGATGATGGAATTTATTTCAATAAACGGGATAAGAATGGTCGTTTCCGACAGCGTTACCATAATAGCTCAACCCGCGAGAAAAGTGAGCCAATTCGGACTGCACCACAGTCCACTCCAGCCCCACCAAGCTCATCTGCACCCCGAAATTCGGCACGTTCTGATAATTCAGTTCGCCATAACAAGAATGACTATCAGAGTGGCCGGGGTAGACCTCAGACTAACCATGACCGTACATCCCGAACTACCCGAAAACCTGATTCGGACGGAAATTGCTATAAATGCGGGCAACCAGGCCACTTTGCCCGAAATTGCCCCAGTAATAACATTGTTCATTCAAGGAACAATGGCCCACCTGGTATATCTGCACAGGGTATGCAGTTCCCTCTTCATGATGAGTCTTCTGAGATGCTTGCTCAGTTAGTAGAGACAACAGAACAACCAGGTGTACTCACACTCAATATGATGCATTTCACTTCATTTGTTAATGATGTATCTGAGGATTCAGCTTTCGAGTACATGTCCGAGGATAATATTTCCCTTACTCCCATATCCAATGCCGATTCGGTTTTAGAGGATGGCTTACTGCCGCTACCGTCTAATTTGTCTTGTTCGGACATACCTGATAATGACCATGACAGTTTACCTGATCTTGAGTCCGTGTCTGATTCCGACATTGAAGCAGATGATATACCTGACCTACAGGATGTTTCTGACTCAGAATATGATGATGATGACATGTTCGACTCTTTGTCAACATTTGAGATAGACTTACTTGAGTCTGATCTCTGGCCGCAGTGTTCTGACTCCGATCCGGAGGGAGAGGAGAGTATAAACTTGGAATTGGATTCCGAAACTCTGTATCAAACTGAAATTAGCTCAGAAACTCCAACTATGAGTGGGAATGAATCCGACTCAATCAGTGAGTCCAGCGAAACACCAGAGTTTTCATTTGCTAGTGATGCGAAAGAGGTATTTGGTTATCCAACCACAAATTGGTCAGATTTCTTTCTACACAAAACCTTAGAACCTGGATGGTGGCCAAGAGCTATTGATGACTGGATGTGTTTAGCTCTAACATTTGTGCTAAACCATGACGCACCTTATCCATTTGACTTCATGCTCTGGGGAGCTGAAGGATCCTACCGGTTCCATGTCCGCAACCTAGATGATGGAAATTATGGCATTACCGATGAGAACGCACCATATGATGAGCTCACCTTACCTGCCCAGCTGCTCAACGATACCACATTCAAGCCTGGAGCATGGTATGCAGAGCAACAAACAAACTTGCTAAATTACCCATTTGATGCCGGACACTGGCAAGACATTAGTACCAACCTCGGGGATGTGTACATGCAAGGAATGAAATTTGTGCTGACTTGTGGTATCCCGGCATACCCAAAAAGTGCTTTCCCAGCACTACATGATCCATTTGAACGATTCATGATTTATAAGGCTTCTGGTGATGACGAAGATGAATATTACTTCAAGGATCGAGAGAATCACTTGTTCAGCAAGCACTTACCAATTTCATTGCTCCGCAACACCAAATTCAACCTTGTTGGATGGTGGTGCAAACAGCTGACTAAATCACTCCATGATATTGAGGTCCGTTTAGAGCGAAAAAGAATTGCGACGCACCGAAAAGCATTCCGAAAAGCTAAACGGAGTACTTGGACATGCCAGAAGCAAGGCGAAATAATCGCCCATGCTGTCGCTGAGTGCCTTGAGCTCAATCAGCCTTTTCCCGGTGACCCTGAGTTACTAGAGCGGTTTTATTGCCGTTTTGATACTTCGATGACAAGTGACAACCTCACGATTTGCATCCTGGACCTTCTGCGTAAAATTCGGTGTGATGTATCTATGGAAAAAGCCATTCAACCTGGTTTTAAACCTGGTGAATTGTGGAATGAGGTCTGCGCACGTATTTCGGATGTCCCAGAATTCATTGATATGGATTATTCACGAATCGGTCATCTACTTGAGACTACAGCTAGAAATAAATTGGCTAGACACGTACCATTTATCCCAGCCATTGAGGCTCCTGGGTATTCCAGCAGAGATAATTATTCTGTATATATAGATCCTGAAGACTCATCCCAATTCATCATTGCTGATGAAGGTCGAGACTTCAAGACAAGGATTTCAGTCAATCTATTGATTCGACCCCAATTTAACTTACCTGCTTGGTATCGAAAACGCCTTGAAAATGCGGAGAATGAACTACTCCAACGTTTACGTGGTCCCGTCGAATGTGAATTCCTTCCTCGACTCTTATTCGGAACCCCAACTGATGAGTTCGAGCTCGAACTTGATCAATTGGTTGGGTTTTCGGACCACTACCTGCATCTACTTTTCGGAAATTTGTCCTGGGAAGAGCGAAATGGGTTAGTACATGTCACCAGTTTGGCCAATGCTTATATTGAGCCAAAGACATACCCAGGCCTTCAACGTAACTCCGGGATTGCAAAGGAAGTTGGTCGTCTCGTACCTCGGCCTATTGTAATTGTAGTCCGTATTAATGACCGACCAGTGCGTGCATTGATCGATAGTGGTTCGCTCGGGGACTTCATGTCTACACAACTTAGTGATCAGCTGAAAGTCACGAAGCAGTTCCATAAAACGCCTATACCTTTACATCTTGCAATTCAAGGTTCCCGGTCAAAGATCCATTGTGGTACAACGGTGAACTTGAGATATCAAAGTATTCACGCTGATCATTACTTCGACATTGCGAATATCTCCAATTATGACTTGATCCTCGGTACACCCTGGTTATTCCAATATCAGGTTAGAATTGGTCTTAATCCCACTACAATTGAAGTTGGAAGCGACGTACCAACTGCAATTCAAGGTGACAATGTTGCCGAAGTCCGTGCTCAATCCATGTCCATAGATGGTGATGATTTGGAGGGCGCGCGAAATGTTCTTCTTCAGTATGCACAGCCGATCTGCAAAACGGCGGCGGAGACTCCTCTCCCGCCACTTCGACGTATCAACCATACTATTCCATTAATAGATGAGAATAAGATTTACCCTTGGCGTCCTTCTCGGTGTCCAGAAGCGTACCGGCCCCAGTGGGATCAGAAGCGAAATGATTACGTCCGTTCCGGGCGATGGATTGTCACAAATTCTCGGAATACGGTTCCTATGCTATTAATTCCCAAGGCTGGACAAAAAGACTCACTTCGAGTTGTATTTGACCTTCGTGCTCGGAATGCTAACACATATAAGATGGCTTCGCCGCTTCCAAATATTGAGGGAATTCTTCGTCGTGTTGCCAAATGCAAGTATCGCAGCATTGTGGATGGCAAGGATGCATATGAGCAGATCCGTATTGTGCCGGAGCACGTCCCACGTAGTACCGTTACTACACCTGATGGAAATATGGACAGTCAGGTCATTCAACAGGGGGATTGTAATGGTGGTGCTACCTTTCAAACGGTCATGAATGACTTATTCTCGTCCATGATAGGTGTATTCATGGACGTATACCTTGATGATATCGTGATCTATTCTAATACTCTGGAAGATCATATCAGGCATGTTAAGATGGTCATTGACATTCTTCAGCGAGAACAGTTTTACCTGAATGCGAAGAAGTTGAATTTCCTCCCTCGCGAATTGAAGATCCTTGGCCAAATAGTTGACGACGCAGGTATCCGCATGGATCCCGATAAGGTCGACTCCATATTGAAATGGAAGGTACCTACATCGAAAGAAATGTTGTCAGGGTTCCTCGGTGCTGTCGGCTACTTGACAGATAACTTACCTGGCATTCGAGGACCCATGGGTATTCTTCATGCACGTACCGGCGCCGCCGTACCTTTTCAATGGACTTTCACTGAACAACGGGCCTTTGAGGATATCCAACGAATCACTCACCAGTGGCAAAACCACTCCCGTGTTCCATTAGACTACTCCACAGGTCACAAACCTATTTGGATTGTAACCGACGCAAGTTCCGCTAGTATCGCGGGTTTCGTATGTCAAGGCACCAACTGGCGTAGGTCTAAAATCGCCGCATTCTTCTCCGCAAAGTTGAACTCGGCCCAACAAAACTACGCTGTCCACGAACTGGAGATGCTGGCCGGTGTTGAGACCATGCTACGGCATCGGGACATTCTCCAGGGTACGAACTTTACCTGGATAACTGATCACAAGGGGTTAGTACATCTCCTGAAGCAAAAGAACCTGTCCGGACGTCAGGCTCGTTGGATGGAAAAGCTCGGGGAATTTGATTTTACCATTGAATATGTCCCGGGTGAGGAAAACATCCTGTCGGATGCACTATCTCGCATATACCTCAATGATGCACCTGGTACCGTCAGGGCAGCATCAGAATACACCTTGTTTGATGACAATTCAGACAACTCGCACCTTGGTTTGCATTCTGTGTCCATGCCCGTGTTCACAGGCCAAGAAGCTCGTAACAAACGCGTCCGGAAACCAGTTGAAACTGCTGATACAGGGCGGCCCGAAACCTCGAAGGAGTTTGCAGCACGTATGAAGGGTCGTGTCCGCTTTCTCGCGCCTCGAAAACGCGGCCAGGAGGGCGCGGGTACGACAGGTATCTTACTTACAACAAAATCAGACAAAAAATCGGATTTTAACATGGATTATATTGAAAATAATGTATCTGTGGATGTAGAGAGTCAGCCTAAACCCCCTTCTTCAAATGGGAAGCTCACAATAAAGCTCCCTGCTCGTCCTAAGGTGCCAGCACATCGAAGTCAAAGAGAAAAGGCAGATGGACACACACAAGAACATGTGTCCAAAGCTAATTCAACCTCGGGAACGAACCCCGGGCTTCCCGCGGGAAAGGCACCTGACTCCGTTAATTCAATAACGGAATTGGACTCTGGTCTTTCCGATGCGACTCTCATCAGTGTTCTCAGCAAAACTAATGATAATTTTGACCTTTACTCTGCCCTCAAAGGAAGATACAAGGAGGATCCCCTCTTCAAGAAGATACTTGAGTCTCCAAAGGATTACCACAACTTTGAGGTGATTAATGACTTGATTTACCTAAAGCAGAGGGAAACTCGTGTTCTCTGTATTCCTAGAATCATTATAAATGGCCGAAGCATTCAAGAAATCATTACTGCTGAAGCTCATTCTCTTTTGGCTCATCTTGGTGCCTCAAAGACATTGGATTATTTGAGAGACCATGTCTGGTGGAAAGACATGGTTGCTGACACGAAGTCATTTTGTGAATCTTGTCATGTTTGCAAGCTCAGCAAACCAGACAACACGAAGTCATATGGTAAGCTTCATCCTCTCGAGATTCCATCATACCCTTGGGAAGCTATTGGTGTGGATTTCGTGGGTCCACTCCCGCAGTCAAAGAACCGTGACAGCTCATTTGATTCAATTTGTGTTATCATTGACTTACTAACCTCCATGGTTCATTTAGTGCCATGTAAGACTACATACACCGCACGTCAGGTTGCCGAACTCATGTTCGAGCATGTGTACAAGCTGCATGGGTTGCCTAAACGAATCATCAGTGACCGAGACTCCCTATTCACCAGTATATTCTGGAAACGACTTCACGAGCTCATAGGTGTTAACCTTCATATGTCAAGTGCTTACCACCCTCAGTCTGATGGTGCTACTGAACGTGCTAATCGGACTGTCACTCAGATGCTTCGGCAATGTGTTTCAGCCACTCAGAAGGATTGGGTCTCAAAATTGCCTGCTATTGAGTTTGCTATTAATTGTGCTCGTTCGGAATCTACTGGTTACGCTCCATTCATACTCAACAATGGCCGTATGCCTCGTTCTATGGTTTGGAGTTCTGACCTCAGCAATGAATACCCCTCAGTCCGGACTTTTGCTCGTTTACGGCGATTAGCTATTATGGCTGCGCATGACAGCATTCTCGAAGCTCGAGTCAAACAAACTCGTGCCGCAAATAGAAAACGTCGATTTGATCCCTTCAAGGAAGAGGATTTGGTCTATGTATCCACAAAGAACCTAACGTTCGAGAAAGGTCTGGCCCGAAAGCTTATACCGAAGTATATTGGTCCATTCAAAATTACCAAGGACTTCGGAAACCACTCATTCCGTGTCTCTCTTCCGAACCATTTCATTCAGCGAGGAGTACATCCTGTTTTCCATTCATCCCTCTTGCGTATTCATGTCCCTAATGATGACCGACGGTTCCCGGGTCGACTTGATACACAGCTTCATGAATCTCCGGTGGCTCAGCCTCAATGGCGCATCGAGAAAATTTTGTCTCACACTGGGTCTCGGAGACATGCTATTTTCCAAGTTCAGTGGAGTACGGGTGACATTACATGGATGCCATTTGCTGAGATTAGCCAGTTACCCTGTTTACCAGAGTATCTCGAGCTCCTGGGATTACAAACCATTGACCAGCTGCCGAAGGGAGCTGGTACTGTTCCTGAGGAAGTCAGCATCGAGATGGGCATCGCATCCATACGGTTTCAAGTTTTTGATCTTTGCGACGGATTTGAAAATATGAAGTTTTCACCTTCGAGTTCCTCTTATAATTCGGACTCGCTTTCAAATCCCTTCCCCCCATCTGTTTACCAACATTCATTACCAGCCTCGCCTCATATCTCGCACTCTTCTCTGCCTATTTTGCCTCACCCCATTATGGCGCCTCTCGAATTCCAACATATCGAACGTCAGAGCCACAGTAAATTTGCTCTTGTTGCAAAGAATGATGATGGCGACAAAATCGTATTCTCTGCTCAACAGGTTCGACTCTATGTCTACTTCGATAAAAATCTCCGTCGTATGCAGAAACGCATTGGTTATACTCCCATCGGCTATCACTCCTTCGCCTCTGAATTTAACAAGGAAGATCTTCCTTACAAATTTGCCTATTGGGATCATGCTAGCTTCCACGAGCCTACCATCACTAACCTCAATACCCAATCTCCACCCATGTCTATCTTCGGCATCGAGGAGTGGGAATGCTTTGCTCCGAATAAGGCAGTTCGCCCTGGTTACGAGGAAGTTCTCTCTACGGAATACCGAGAACTTTGTAGCATGGCTTTGGAGCAGGCCCGAGGTGCTACTAGAGGACGTCGTAAAGCTGAAGTTCGGAAGCAGGAAAAGAAGAATGCTGCGGCCGCTGCCGAGCATAAAAAGACTGGGACTCTCCACTTCCACAGTGGTCCCAAGAACGCCGGTTCGAGTTCCCGCTCCTAAACTCGTTTCAATATCCACGTCGTGTTGACGTTCCTCACTCGTTCCTTGTCTATGTGTTTCTTTTACATTGCCCTTGACTTCTTTTATATCTTACTTCGTTCACGTTGACTCGTACTTTATGTTTACTTATTTTGTGGTCTTCTGCGACGACCAGGAGGGCGTATGTAACAGTACGGATCATTCCTGATCCGGACCGACCCCGACTCGTATATAAGGACTGTATGTTTGTAGAGTAGCGTTAGTTCTCTTCCAATCGCAGCGCTATCCCTGTCATTGCGAGCGACTCTCAGTGTGACTACGTCACATAATCCAGACTGTACGTTTCATAGGCAAGATGATTGACAGTTCCATGGAATCGTGTACTGTGTGTTCAGCCAAGGTTATATGGCTATTTTTATCGGATTCACTAAAGAAGAGGGAAGGGGGTTAGGCACACCCTCAAGTTGCATGATTCCACATGTACACTGAGACAATGCGTTGTAAAAGTCAGAAGCCATATATTGACCTCGCTAACATTTGAGATTCAAAAATGAGCAGTAATGAGATCCATGGATGAATGATATCTATGTATTACAGAAAAATTCAACCATGTACGACGAACTCAGGACGAATTAGCAGTGCCGACGTGCTGGAGAAGGAATAGTTACAGAATTACGTAACATCACGTCGATTTCTGTCTGGTTCCTCCGGCAAATTCATAGTGACTTTTTGTCCAATACATGTTGGTTCTCTCGTACTACTAGCCTTCAACGTTGACTTCTTTTCTCATGCTTCCGCTGAATCCTCTCACTGAACTAAACCTTCAGCTTACAGACAGTGAGAACAAACACAATGACATCCCACACCGTCCAGGGGAGCTCCACCAGCCTCGAAAGCATCCGAATCATCGATCATCTTTTTGGTATCCTCGAAGAGTACGGGTAAGTATTTCTCATAACGTTCGTTTGGTATTCATCAGTTCATCGTTATCCGATTTAAATCTTCATCAACTATGTGGTGTACGAAGTCAAGGAGATTACATTGGCGAGTCTATTTCACAAATAGAGCATTGTCTTCAAGCAGCGTACTGCGCTAAACAGGCCGGTGCGTAGTCGCCGGTGTGAATGGTGAAGTATGTACTGAGATTTATCGAAATTTCAGGCTCAAACGATGCAAGTATGGGATTTATTCCAGAGTTTTTACTTCCTAGCTGACAATCGTGGTCCTCGACCAGCGGTATTGGCTGCTCTCTTTCATGATTGCGGTCAAATGTGCGTTCCCTCCTCTTGTAACGACTTCTTCAAGTTGGGTACTCATTCATCTTGCAGACTTCCCAAACATATCCTCGATGCTCAAATCCACTCCTCTTCGTTTTTGAAGTTCAACCCTTCATCTCCAGAAATAGGCACTAACATGCTTCTTCCCTCGGGTGAATCAGTGGGGAAACACGGACATGACATAATTGGTGGGCTCTACCTCGCTTCCCTAGGATTCCCGCCTGAGGTGTGGGAGTTGGTCCGAGACCATGTCGTTGCCAAAAGATATCTTACTGCTGTCGAAGAAGGGTATCACCATGCATTGAGTGAAGCCAGTAAGCTTAGCCTCGGTTTCCAGGTATACGATTTATTCCGTTTTAGTTCTAATCTCTGGTATTAATTATTGGAATACCAAGGGCGGCCCGTTCTCGCATTCCGAGATCAAGAATTTTGAGCAAGACCCACTTTTCTTCGAGAAGGTGCAGATGCGACGATTTGATGATGCTGCAAAGATTGTTGGTGCTCGGGTACCTCCCCTTGCCTCTTATAAAGATCTTGCAATGAGATGGTTGCAGAAGGGATAGAGTATTTGTTGGATTATAAGCTCACTAAGTCCTTTTCCGCCGAATTAACCCAGCTACCTTTTCTTCAAACAACTGCGAGCTTCATCTGGCACAACCAACCCAATTAGGAATATCTACTAACATCACCTTAGTCCCATCATTTATTCGCAGACGAATAGTTAGTATTTCATGCCGCCACTCCATCAATCTTTAGCATCATATCGTCCTACCCATGCTGCTCCTCATGGCTTGGAATTCAAACAGCTTCGATATACCATGCCCGCTATCTTCTTCTACGTCCGCTGACTTGTGTCTAGCTGGGGAAAGATATCCCAGGAGGCTGTCATGCGTGCAGTAAACCCTCAATTGATCAATGGATTAATATTATGAAGGGAAGCATCAGGAAGGGTGGTATATAAAGTGCGCAATACTATCCGCAATAGCACTTGAAATCGTACCCGCTTACAAATTTCCATTGTTACAACTCTCACATAGCATAACACGATTCTACATGGAACTCTTCGTTCTGTTGTGCATCACTCTTGTACTCATTCTTCTCGGAATGGGCCTCAATTCACGCAGGTGGGTCAACAAGAAACTTCCCCCAGGTCCTCGAGGGTTACCTATCTTGGGGAACATCTTTCAATTGGGAACAGGGTCAGTGTGGCTCGCCTTTGATGAGTTGAAGTCCCGATACGGTCAGTTCCCCCTTCCTCCCTGCGATTATCTTACCCACATGTTTGACAAATATCGCCTCAATCTTTTATTCCAGGTCCTATTGTGTATCTCAATATGGCAGGTCAAAACACCATCGTACTCAACCACAAAGCCGCCGCCATAGAGCTCTTGGAGCGTCGGTCCGCGATCTACTCAGATAGGCCCAGATTTATTGTCGCAGAATACCTTGGTAGCCAGTCAGTGATGCCATTTACAAGATATGGAAAACTGTACGCGCTTCATTGTTCGCCTTGTTAACCTTGAGGTCTATTTTCATTGTATTTTTTAGATGGAAGGCCATGCGTCGTGCAGGTCACAGAGTCCTGCACGCTCGGGCCAGCACTAAATATCAACCTGTTCAAATTCAAGAATCGATTATTCTCACTCATGATTTGTTGTGCAACACGTCTTCCCCTTTGCTTACAAAAATCCACAAGTAAGAATGTAATCAGTATCATCGTTCTTTTTCATTCATGTTACAAATTTTAGTTCCGCTTCCACTATGGTTTCTGTGTTATACGGTAGAAATCTTCTCCCTTCTAGGAATCCAGTGCCATCAGTTGATAGCGCGTCACAACCACAACTTCTTGCACCTCATGTATGTGACACTGGCACACTGCGTCTTACTTCGGATGTACTCGAGACCCTCAGTAACTTGGCGCATCGATTCACCAGTGCTGCGTATCCAGGAGCTCATCTTGTCGAAGCTGTTCCAATTTTAGATTATCTTCCTTCTGCAATGGCAAAGTGGAAGAGAGAAGCGCAAAGAGACTCTCAGCACATCACAGCTGTGGTTGAGCAGTACTACAATGATGCGGTGAGTTGAATTCAGCTTGGTCAAGTGTTAAGGGAAATCTTAAAGACCTAAATTGAAAGGTGCGGAATGACCTGCAACAAGCAACTCTTTGCGCCGGTCTAGCGACTGATCAAGTAGCAACCGGATTGAGTGATATCGAGAATGCTTGGGTTGCAGCTACTCTTGCGTAAGTGTCGAGACTCAATATATGCTAGTTAAGAAAATTAAACACGGATTGAATTGGTGTTGACTCAGTGCTGGTGCTCTTGAGACTGTGCGTCGATAATAACTTCCCTGATTGCTGCATTCGATTCAATTAACTCGATTTGCTCAGACCAGCATTTCTTTATCATTCTTCCTTTATGCCATGTCCCAACACCAGAACGTTCAACAGCAAGCACAAATTGAACTGGACCGTGTAGTGGGCCAGCCACGTACTCCAAACTTTGTTGACATGGCGCAGCTTCCGTATGTGAGGGCGATTGTTAAAGAGGTTCATTCGTTTTCGGCTACTGTACCTGTGCTCGACTGAATGAGATCGAACAGGTCTTGAGATGGCAGCCTGCGGTTCCATTAGCTGTACCGCATGTTGTGATGGAGGTATTCGTCATATCAGACGCTCTCGGGATATTAATATGCAAATTTTAATCACCTTAACAGGATGACTGGTACGAAGGGTACTTCATTCCTAAAGGAACAACAATTATACCAAATGTCTGGTATGCTCGCATTCGGACCATATAATGATACCAACTCATTTTCCCTCAGGTCAATGAACCGCGATAAAGATATATATGGCCCTGACGCTGACCAGTTTCGTCCGGAGCGATTTCTTCAGCAACATGACTCTGGAATGAATGCTCAAATATTCACACTTCGAGCTGAGTATGAAAAAGATGATGGTCATTGTGCTTATGGATTTGGGAGGAGGTGGACTTTATTTCCTTTCATCCTCCATACCGATTTCCAACTCTTCTGTTCTGATGCTGGATGAACCTAGGGCCTGCGCCGGGCGACATGTTGCAGATAACGCGTTATTCATCAATATATGCACAATCTTGTGGGCTTTGCATATCGAGCCTGAGATTCATACAAACATCGGGAGTCGAGAAGAAGTGAAGGATATGTTGAAGTAAGCAAGATCTCGCTTTCCTATCCAGCACTGACCCAACATCATTCTCTCAACTCAAAAGTCCGATGCCAGTTTTCCAATGTCGCTTTTTACCTCGATTTCCAGAAGCGAAACGGGTTCTCCAATATTTACGAGATGAAATAATACAAGGTAGAACCGATGTAGTTTCGTAGCGAAATTTTAATTATTCTTAAATTGCAACTCTCATGAGATATAGACATAGATGTACCAATACTAATACAGGGTGTACATCGGCCGACTAGCTCAGTTGGTTAGAGCGTCGTGCTAATAACGCGAAGGTCTTGGGTTCGATCCCCACGTTGGCCACTTATATTTTTGATCTACGCTGCTTAGCATTTGCTGACGTACTGCCAACTTTTTCCGACTTATTTAACAGTGTTAAATTACCTCTGCTCAGATTTTGTGAAGATCATCACAAGCTATGACATTATAATGCTCCAAGAAACTCGCATTCAAGCGGGTACTACAATATGCCCTCCAACTGGCTTTACAGTCTACACCCGAAATCGTCGACGAATTGCAGATGATATTGAAAACCCTTGGGGGGGTGTGGCTACCATTGTTCGCGACAGCCTTCGGAGCTCTGTCAGACTAGACCTGAGTAGTCCGGATATATTAGCAGTCCAGGTAAACGGTATTGTACTTTTCAACTCTTACATCATCCCCGAATCTTCCCGCACCGATTGGACCCAATGGGCTGACCTACATCCTTGGGATGCCCTTGCCCAAAGCATTCGTCTCGCTACCTCCCTGGATCTCCCTTTCATTATAAGTGGCGACATCAATGCCCGAACGGGGTCCTCTTCTCCCTATCCAGAGCACGCACCTCGCCAATCTGCTGACTCAGTCATCTCCACCCGTGGCCGCCGCCTTCTTGAACTATGCGCAGATCTTCACCTGACAATCATGAATGGCTGTTCCACCATCCCCGGCAACCACAGCAGCTGGACCTCCTTCCAACACCGACGAAGCACTGATGGGACACCAGCTACTCACCCCTCCGTAATTGACTATGTCTTGGCCTCACCGCTCTCCTCATACTTTATCTCTAAGTTAGCAGTAAGCCCGGAAACAGAATGGTCTGACCATGCTTACCTATCATAGGATCTATTTGTACCGGGCACTGAAATTACACGTTGCCCTCCTGTACGACGCCCAAGGCCTCATATTGCTATCCCATTACTCTCCGATATTGATCACCTTCAACATGAACTGCTGCACTCTCGGAACAAGTCGCACCACGAACGCTTACTCAAGGTCTATGGCCATGCCAGCTGCCATCCCCAGTCTACACCTCTAAAAATTTTCACCGATGGTTCTTGCCTCAAGAATAACACTGCCGCTGCATGTGCCGGTCTCGGAATCTATGTGGGACCTAACCACCACTTAAACCTTTCTGCGCGTATATTAGGTCCTCAGCGAAACAACCGCGCTGAACTCTATGCCATCCTCGCCACCATTCAGCGCACCTCATTAAGTCGTACACTTGAGATCTACACTGACTCTACCTACGCTATCCAGTCCATTGTATATAACGCACCTGACAATGCTCAATGCTGCTGGAATTGTCCTAACGGGGACCTTCTTCAAGTAATCGCTCAGTGGATCTTGGCTAGGGCCTCCACAATTGCATTTACTCATGTCCATGCCCACATCGGCATCACTCAGAATGAGCAGGCAGACCAACTCGCAAAAGCTGGTGCCAATCTCCCTCTACCTCAACAACACTCCAACCTCGACTTTCTTTCCTTACCTACCCCACCTCCATTTATCCCTCAATCACATACGTGCATTGCCAAAGTCTCTACCACGTTACCGGACCCTCGTTCATCTGTGTCCACTATGGCTCGCTGTATCCCTGCTACCTCTTCTACAGTTGACCACCGTGGTCGCTCTCACCGACGGAAGATGGAGGATGCAAACTTGTCGCGCCTGCGGCTCGCTGCTGACACTGGTGGTGCTGCCTTCTGGAAGTTTTACAAATCCCTACGCAACCCTGACAAGCCCCTACCTAAGGTTACACTGGAGCAACTGACGAGCTGTTTCATTCCTCGCATGAACCCTCCCGATCCTCATACTACCTCCTTTGATCCCCGATCCCCCCAACACGAAAGCTCCCGAGCTAAGGCTATCCTGAACCCTTCACCTCCTTCACCAATTCCCTCATTTAACTCTTCAATATCTGAAGACGACATCGGCACCATCAAGAGCTACCTTAAACGCACCACCCATTCAAACTCGGCTGGTGTTGATCTTGTCACATATTCAACTATCATGGACATTGATAATGACCGCTTGGCCTCCTTCTTTGACCGCGCATTCACGCACAATGAATGTCCTACATCGTGGCTCACATCTCTGATTGTGGCAGTACCTAAGCCAGGAAAGGACGCAACTGACCCAAACAACTACCGAGCGATCGCCTTGGAAAGCTGTATCCTCAAATTTGCCTCACTCCTACTACATCTCAAGCTGAGCCAGGCGCTGGAAGAGGCTAATGTTCTACCTGCCTCACAGAACGGATTTAGGGCAGGATACCGGACAAACAACAACGCATTCATCCTCCGCACCCTCATCGAAAAGGCTAAATCTCAGGATGACACCCTTTACGTGGCTTTTGTAGACATCTCGAATGCTTTTCCATCAACAAACCAGAGCAGCTTATGGAACAAGCTGGCTGACTACAACCTGACAGGCAAATACTTCGACTGGTTACGCTCCCTTTACAACCAGATGACCTATGTCATCGCCCACAATGGTGACATCTCTGATCGTTTCCGAGCTATGTGTGGGGTTTTGATGGGCGACCCCTCCTCTCCAACTCTCTGGAACATCTTCTTGTCCACCTTCAATCTCATCCACGACCCCAATGACCTCGACCTACTCGGCATTGTCATATCTCATCTCGAACACGCTGATGACATTGCCCTGATCTCACGCTCTTCACATGGCTTGCAGTCCCATCTCAAGGCCTTCGAAACTTACTGCCATACAAACAACCTCTCCATCAGTGCTGGGAAATCCTGGGTTATGGTCTTCGGCCGCCTACCCTCACCCCTGCCCACCTTATACCTTGCAGGCGAAGTACTATCCTACCGAGACTCTGTACGCTATGTCGGACTCCACCTCCAATCCACACACCGACATCTATTTGCTGCGCATTATACGGTGAAGCGTGACTCTGCAATCACTGCTGCTGGCGGCATCGCTGGCTGCGACCTCATCATTGGACACCGTCGTCTTGACCCGCTGATTGCAAAGCAACTCTACTCGGCACTCATTGACTGTCACCTCATCAATGGCTGTGAAATCGCGATTGACACCGACAAACACCTACTGTCCATGCTCGAACAGGTGCAGCTTCTCTTCCTCCGGCGGATGCTAGGTCTCTCTCGTCGCTCTATGGTCGCTCCTCTCTTCACTGAGACTGGCATCATGCCCATCCGCATTCGTCGAGTTATTCTTGCTCTCCGATACCTCATTTACCTTCTGAAACTCCCACCTGACCATTACGCCTATCTCGCGCTCCAGGAAAACAACAATCTTCGAACTCAGGGCAGGAAATGTTGGCTCTCGGACCTCGATTGGGCCATCACCCACCTTCCATCCTCAACACTCTCCCTTCCCCCACTGGCTCAGCTCTCGGAGCAATCCGTTCTCCAACTAATCAAATCTATCTCTCACGAGTCGGACGCCCACCTCCAGTCAGAAGTTGACAACAGCCATCGCTTAGCATTGCTACACAACCGCCGGGAACCACAGAAAGAAGGACCAGCCAAGTACATCGCTCGAACGCTGCGCCACTACCTCATACTAATCCAAAATCATGACCATCGGCGGACTCTCACCAGATTAATATGTGGTGACATGGTCCCTCTCACATTCCGCGCTTCTCCGGCGAGAACGGACCCCATATCTGAGGCAGAACAACACACAAAGGGATGTCGGTCATGCCAATCACCATTTCATCCAGAATCTCCCCAGCATATCCTCCTTCAATGTGTAGCTGACGATACCACCACTGACCTACGAACCGCCTTCCTCCTCGACATATCACCATTCATCCCTCTTCCCCGAAGCCGACAATTTTCTAATGCCGAGGCTCTTCATTACCTCAAACTCTTCATCTTCAACACCACGTTCATCACTCGCACAGCACGTTTCATCCACGCTACTGTCGTGCATTGGAATTCACTACACCAACTTCACATGGCCTGGGAAGAGGAGTGCGAGGAAGACGAAGGTTAGACAATCATCGTTCATCATCTACCCTTTCCTCTCTTTCTTGTCAAGGCAATGGCATTCTTCCTCTCTCTTCTTCCTTGTGTTCCACTTCACTCTCGACACGATTTTCCTCCAATCCCTTCAACTTCTCCTTTCGTACTCTCTTGCGTCCCTTTCGTGCTCTCTTGCGTCGTCGTATCTTCATCGCTCGTACCATTTCGTATCTCTTCTTGTCGCTCGTACTCTTCCGTTTACTCTTACTCATCTATTTCTCTTGCACTCTCACATCTCTTGCACTCTCAATCTCTCGCACTCGCTCTTTCTCGTACATTATTCTTACTCGTATGCGGTACATCAGCAGTAGTCTACCCTTCCCTCTGCGGACTGAGCTCGCTATTGTTCATGTACTGTAACCGGCTGTTCCGATGCGGGACCCCGTCTCTAGGGACGGAGCCGAGTATCAATCTATCTATCTATCTATCTAAAATGACAGGATAAAAGAGATTGCTGTTGAAAAAGGTTAAAACATATCTACAAGCACATGATTGCTATAAAGATGGAGGCTGCCTTGCACTTGGTATCTAAATGCGGGGGTCGAGACCATATTGGTTGAAACGGGGTATGAGAGCCATCGCAGAGGGGACAATTGGACGAATAGAGACAGGAGTGTAGCTGAGGGAAGGTAGAAGATGATAGGGCAAGGATAAGGTAACATTAAAGATAGGGACTGGCAATAATTGAAGAGATGGAGAGACTAATCTGGTACATAGCATACATATCATTCAAGGCTAGCCGGTAAAAAATGAGGACAGTGCTGGTAAGGGAAATTCACAGATAAAGTAGAAATGGTAATATGAATATTGACAATGAATAGCTTGTGCAAGGGGGAAAAGCGGAGAATACACCTTTTGTGCTGAGGAAGGGACAAACCAAAACCCAAAGACAGATGGAGAAGGCATTGAGAACGAAGAGTGCGTAAGTGCGATACAAATGTAAGAACTCAATACGAGTGTGCTATTCAATGTATAAAGATGAGGTGATGAAAGGGTGAGTGAGCGACGCTGGGGGATTGAAGGGCGAACATGTAAAGTTGGAACAATATTGAACAGACATTACCAAAAACATCGACGAAGGACATTCACAAAGGAACATCGAAGCAACAAGTGTACGAATCTAAAGGAAATTAAAAAGATGAATGAGATGGTAAAAAAAAGATGAATGACAAACAAACGCAAAAATGAAGTCACAAAACTATAGGCTCAGAGGAACATACGAGAAGAGAAAGGGAGAATTGTAGCGAGAACCTGATCCGCCCTTTATTCTGGCTCGGCTCTACTCACTTCAGACGTACACCCGCTAATAGTCCATTGCAGCACAACAAAGTCCGTGATCTTGCTTCCTCTTTCTGTCTTATTCTCACTTGCTATTTTCCCCTCCCCCCTTCCCTATCCCAGACGCCCTTACTACCTCTCTCCATTCCAAAGATACCACGAATGCGTTCTGTCGCCCGAGCCTTTCCAGGAAACGACTGAAGAGGGCCCAAAGACTGAAACACTTGAGATTTGAAAAACTAGATAGCCATAACCATAACCAAGAACCAAGAAAAAATCTGTTCGTCCTCCGTCTCCTTCAGCTTTTGTTCATTTAAGATCATTCTTCACATCTAACTTCTTCTTCACTTTGAGTTCGTGGACGAACGACCGCACCACAGACCGACAGAATGCAATAGATTTATACAAATCCCAACGGATTATTTGCAGGAATTCAGCATTTGGTTATGAGAGACCACCTTCTGGAATCGCCTTGAGCGGCGTGCGAAGAAAGTCCGCAGTGTTAGTGAACACAGTGTTGCCCCACCAATTAACGAAGATCGTGCCGCCTTTTGGGAACTGTAGAGAGCAAATGAAGGGATGACTGAAGGATGATACAACAAACACACCTGTAACGTAAAGAAAATGAAAATCAAACTTATAACCGTCCCACAATCGAACGCTGCGCTCGTAACGTAGTTGAACTTTGCCCACCAGGCAAAGTTGCGCTTCCGGATGAGGTATTGGAAGATGAACCCGACTGCGAACCAAGACGAATAGTTTATGCCTAGAGTGGTTAAGAGCAATCATTTATCAATGAGGAACATGAGTGAGGAGCAGGGGTTGGTGAATGATGACGAATCGTGGCAATTAGGATCAAACAACTTACCAGTCGCAGGCGGAATCGCGCTGACCCCATTTAATATCACCGGTGTACTCATATATCTAATCCAGCTTCCCGGGTATCTTCTCTGCCATAACCAGAATGGGATAGGGAGGACCGCACCAATAGCGATGGCGTACAGGTGCGGGTGGTAGATGGAACCGGTACCGAATTGCCGCGCAGGCCCAATGAGACCCCTGTAGGAGGGAGGACGTAAGTAAGGTAACAAAGGAGGAAGTACGAGCAAGTGATGAATGCATGGTCCGAGAGAATAGAGAGAAGTACGCGGAGGTAGCAGAAGATGACGAAGCAAGATGGAGGTAGAATACCTAAGTAACCGGGCGAAACGAAACGAAACGAAACAAGCGAAACAAAACTCACCAAACAGCACTCGCAGTGAAGAACACCTGATTATGCGGACATGTCAATTGACTCTTTTGGCCTGGTTGACATATATCTGGTACGTGAGCAAATATCCACTGTTTGACGCCGACCTGTACAAAAGAGGCGAGGATGGTGGATATTAGTTGGACTGCGGGAGAAAAACATCGTTAGTAAAGAAAAAGACTCATGAGAAAAGGCTCCAACGAATCCGACCCAGAATGAACCTATCAAATCGCAACTCACCCAAGAAGGTAGCCCTCGGCGGAATCTTAATATAATGTCCCAACTTCAAATCCTGCACGAAACTAGTTGCTTCGGAGAGAGTCTGTACGGAATAAGCTTTGAACACCATGTTCGCCATTGGGTTTCCTGGAAGAAGGGTGCCAGGAATGATCTGCGCGACGATGTTGAGGGTTATCTGAACGAGAGAAGTGAAATGGCGAGGTTAGTTTAGGAGTATAAGTTCAATGTCTGTAATACTCACCCCTTGCCCAGTCATCGCATATATAAAACCACTCGGCAAGATATAAATCACCGGTAACGCGATGGCAAGAAGGAGAGCCCAGATCGGGACACCGGCGTGCCAGACTTCAACTGCGATGATGGCAAGACTGAAGAAGGTCACGATAGAGAGGAGGTACCTGGGCATGAGGAGAAGGTGGGGAAGGTAAGGATGAGGGCAGAGGGAGAACAGGGAAGGAAGAGAAAGTGCAAGTTCGAAAAAAAGACCTGATCAACTCCACCCCGTGGAGAAGAAGCGTCAGTGGGATAGTCATCATGTCCTCCTAATCCCCTCTCCTTGATAGCAAAGCCTAACCAGTAAACCCAAACTCCGAACGTTCTCCTAAGACCCATCCTCACCATAACAACACAATGACAGAGACAGATCACAAGTCTGAGGATCTTTTCCCCACAAAAAAAACCAAGAACCGTAAACCCAAAGTAACACAAAGTATACTCACCACCACTCCGGCACCTCCGGATAACTTCTCATCAGTTTCGCATGGATATCGTCGCTCTCAACTCTAATCCTCTTCACACCCGCGAGTAGGGCTTTGCCGTGGTAGAGGAGAGTGTGGGTGATTACGCAAGTGGAGAGGGCGAATGCGATTAAGTAACAGACCTATTGATTGGGGAGAGGGGAGGAAGGAATGAATGTTGTCAATATTGTCTAGCTTCAAGGCGAAGCAAAAAATGAAAAAAGGTCGAACTCACAGCATACGTCGCAGGCAAATACAAGGGACTATACTCTGCATACGCCGTCTGATTGAAAATATCATCTTTCGTGAGTACACGAGTAATGTTATATGGAAGCCCAAAGCGGTCGTATGGCTGGTTGTCGGAGATGGGGAAGTAGGAAAGGTCCCAGGACTGGATATGGGAGGGTTAATGTTTTGATCGATAGATATAGCGAGGATGATAAGAATTAGGAAAATAAGGTAATGAAGATGATGGAGGCGATGATAAAGAGGATAAACCGAGCTCCAAAGCCCAAATGAGCGAACAAACAAAAGTCAGATAAACTCGGATAAAGCGAAGGTATAACTTTTACACAAGCGAGTCAGAAAAAGCATAAAGACTTGGAAAAATCAAAATTAGAATCGCTCATCACCGCATCGCAAATGAGATGTAACCAACTTTGAGAAAATGAACCGCGGCGTCCACCCACAATTCGGCACCTTCGAATACAAGAAACAGGTATTTGTCCCACATTCGTCAGATAGCGAATAATGCTTATCGCCGCATCGACCTGTATCGCCCAGGATCAAAGGACCGACGATTCCGCAAAGCCCGACCACCCAACGCCGACATCCGATTGGGAACACAACCTACAGCGACCCCATCCAACCTCATAGCTCAAACCCTAATCCAATCTATCCAACCTGATCTGACCTAATCCCCATTCGAAAAAAGCCCTAATCTTGCTCCATTTGCTGCATCCCAACCGGATCCTACTTTATCCTTGACTCCAATCCGCGCCACACCACGAGAAAACCCACGAAGTAGGACGGTGGTTGACTCTAACCCTCACTTTCACCATCACTACTCACTCCAGAAGTGGGGAAAAACACTTCGACTCAATCTCCAACTCTGCGTCACATAAAGCGAGAAAACGAAAAAAAAAACTCTTGGCAAGAAAAAAAGGAAGAGAGGTGAAAGGACCGAAAAACGAACGACGAAAATGAGGTAAAACAACCAAGAAAGAAAACACGAACAGGAACTTTCAACGAACGAAAACCTTTGAAAGGGATCGCAAAAAAGGACCGAAAAAGACAACGGAAAATATCCGAGGGTAATGGAATGGAAGAAAACTCACATTCGTATAGTACAATATCGGCGTCAACACCCAGAAGAACGCAACGAACCCACCAAAGATGTGGACCTGGGCCCACCAGGGGACCATAAGCGGAGAACCTATCCATGAGATCTGTGATGGGAGAAGCGCGCAAACGCATGTTGTCAATTCACCATTCTGACCTCAACCAAGGAATTCACCTGTGTCCAATCCGCCGTGACCACACTCATCCCCATCCCAGAATATACCCCAAACAGTTGGTTGACCACCACGTTCTCGGGAACAGCCCAGCATATAAAGCTGAATATACTCAGCGCCGTGAAAAGAAATCCTGGGAGGAAGAAGAATATAAAGTTGAAGAGGGTGATGTAGAGGAAGAAACGGTAACGTGTTATAGGTCGGCGGGTACGGCGTTTCTGAGTGGAGGAGAGGGCGGTGAGGTTAGAGAGCGTCGGTAGGGTAGGAAGGGTAGACAGGTTGTTCAAATTAGTGATGTCGCTTGATGAAGCGGGAGCTTGAGGAGCAAATGGGTTAAGAGATGTAGAGAATTTGGATAGGAAGGTTATCGGAGCAGCGGAGGCAAACTTCCTTCGTTTGATAGGTTTATGTGGCTCAGGTATTGCCGAAGACGAAGGTAAGCCACCGACGTCGACACCATGCTGTCCACTCTGAGTTGCCTCCCACCTCCTACTCTCTTCATCATCCTCCAGATCCTCGCCCTCTTCTTCGGCATGCAACGTGTTCAATAACGTACACGCCACCAGATTCTGTGGCCACACCATACTCGCTGGCCATACTAAAAACCTCCTACACAGACCCGCAAGCCCGAATCCTGTCAACTGCGTAGCAAGGACCAAGACGAGAGAAAACCAGTATCCCCAGATTTGGTTGTAGTAAATTTCTGAGACGACGATGGCGTTGATGGCGTACGGAGATGAGATAGCTACGTTACCCATAATGAAGACCAGGCCATGTTCTTTGATGTTCCACGGGCCGGGGTTCAGCGAGAACGTGAACGACGGAGGTGGAGAAGGGAAGTCCATAGATGACGAATCTGCAGTCTTCTTCTTCATCCATGCTGGCCACCTTGGCAGAGGAATCCTGAACGTCCTTATCGGCAACAAGAAACTCAACCCCTTGCCCATCGGATAACCCAGTAACAGCAACACGTTCGGCACCACACTCGGCGCCGGGCTTCGAAAGTTGAAGAACACATTCAACGCAGCGCTGAGCATGCACAGGCTTAACCCCACAATCCACATGCGGAATGTCATCGCCGGCATTTCTGGGTCATCGATGTTGGATACAGAGGCACGGACTTCGGGAAATGGGGAATCTTCTTCGACGGATGCGGTAGAGAGGTAGGAGGAGAAGGAGAGTTTGATTGAGGGGGCAGCGGAGAGGGAGGAAGGCGAGGTGGATGGTGTAGGAAAGATACTTGCTTCTTCTTCTTTGGACGATAAATGATGGGTACTAGGTGTCGTCGGTCCGAGGTTTAGTCTCTCCATCCGATACCCTGATTCTTCAGCCGATGAGAGAGGCTGAGAAGATGGCGGTGAGGAAACTGTTTGTTGTGTAGTTGAAGGAGGATGCTGATAAGGTGCGTCGGATACAGGAGAAGGATAGACAGCCATATTGGCTAGAGCGGTTGAGGTCGCCATTGACGGTTGTGCTTCTACTTCTGGAACGCCGAATGCGAAGACATCTTCGTCTTCTGATACGTCTTCTTCCTCGTCTTCATCGTCATCCATGTATTCTCCTTCATATTGGGTTGGATACTGTGGTGAGTATTTGTGTCCGACAACATATTGCCCGTTAACGTCGTACGGATAGTCGCCATGCCCTTCGAATCCATTACTAAATCCACTAAATTCCGATTGACCACCCGCACTCGTTGTGGGTCTTCCTCCAGCACTCGTCGTTGGTCGAGCCGTCATCCCAGTGAATTCCTATCCTTATTTCGCTTGTGATTGCCGTAGTAGTCGAGTTTCAAACAAAATCGTTTGTCAGTTGGGGTAGCCTTATCGTCGAATCAAGCTAGCAGAGCCCTATCGTTGCTGTCGGAGTGACCTATCGACGTGGTGTCAGCTGAACAGAACGTAGAACCCACAATTGACGAGTCCAGCCCTGAGAAAAAGCGTACCCAGAGATTTGGATAGTCGGAGAGAGAAAGGGATTTAGAAAGTTGTACCGATTCAGGTCGTCGGTGGGAGAGAGAGGAAGTGAATTGAAAGCAAGGTAATGAACGCTGTGAACAGCGAGGATTGGGTGAGAACAAGGTGAATGGTGAGAGCAGGGAAGAATCGGTCAAGGGAAAAACCCTTTCGCTCGGGTTCTGATTCGCTGTAAACAGCTTGTCACAGTTTGCGTGCTAAAGTTTGCCGAAAGCGTGATACCCCTGTCACACTCAAGGAACCATCACGCACAGTACCTGAAATTAGATGGGCGCTTGAGGACGCTTGGGGATTGCAAGGGATTTGGAATGGACAGTTCTAAGCCACGCAGGGGTAACAAGGAGCAACGCGTTGAACACGCATGTACAGTGACATTACTGTCATCTACTGTACCTGCAGGATTAATCATTCATTCAAAGTATACAATCTGCATTCAAGTTGTGGGACGACTGAGAAGCATTTTCAGGAAGCTTAATTCCTGTTATTAAATTCTTAAAATCTTTTTCGACTATCTTGTCACCCAGTCTAAGCAAATATAAGTGTCCACTGAAGGGAATAGAGTCATTCGCAACAATAACAAAAAATCCGTGCTCGCCAATGGATAAAAGTACCAAGCAAATTGCAACTCAATGCCTCCTAGCCGGATTGAACGACTGACCTTTGCATAGACCCAAATCACCTGAGTACAAGTGCAACGCTCTACCACTGAGCTAAGAAGGCGTTGCACAACTTTGGTCGAGCGTAATGATATGTTGATGAAAGTATACAAGTCAATAAATTATGTAGAATATGTAAGTCACATCTTGTCTCTTAAAACCTCAGAAAAATCAAGCAAAGGTCCTGTCAATTATCGATAATCTGTTAAGTACCGTAAATTTCTAGACCCATTTTCATCCTCTAGTAGCTGTATCAAAAAGTGTTTTCAACACAAGCCATGGGTGGAGAATATCAACGGCTGAGCCAAATCCATTGGCCCCATCCCAGAACACCCGCGCAGCCTGGGCATCCTAGATAACGTTAACATTTAAAAGCTAAATTCGAAGTGCATCGTTCGAATCGCCTCACCTTGGTAGCGAGAATTTGTACCCTTCTTAGATACCAACGCACTAGACTGCCTGCTTCCAGATTTTCTCCGGGTAAGGGGGTGGTACAGGGTATCCCGTAATCTGTTTTTAGGAAGATTTAATAATAGTCCTTCGACTGTGGAGCATATCCTATTTCTAAGCATACCCAGTAAATGTGTGAGTTGCCTGAGCAATGCCGAGATTTAGACCAAATTATATTATCGGATTCGAAATGTGAATTACTTACCAAAAAGCATCTGTCTTGTCAAAATGCTCTTTAAAGAACTCTTCTGAGAAATTTGTCGGTAAATGCTTGTTGTTTGTCACTGGTGTATTGATAGAGTTTGAAAGGATTTTGTTCAGCACAGCTGCGCCTATCAGTGCTTTAGTACATCCTTGGCTGTCATTCACGCAATAATTAGATGCGTGAAGGAGCAGGAAAAAGAAATTTGAATACCCGTATATGGGATCCACTAAACATATGAATCAAGATTTGAATCACGAAGATAATCAGCAACGTCGAAGTAAGAAACTCACCAGATAACACACTATCCCCCAACGCTACGAAGTTACTCGGCAGGTTTACCGTTCGGTGATATTGAATATAGGCTGTGGGAGCTGAAAGTAGGAGCATCGATGAATGATTAGTATACGTATGTACCACTTTGAAATCTAATCGTGTACTCACGAATGCGAACATGGGAAAACTGTATCTCCGGTTGAGCCTCCTCTAGGATATCAATAGCTTCGTACAACCACCCCGGGATTGGACGTTTCTGATATGTCTTCAACTCCTGCGCCAATGATCGCATCGAATCGAGCGACTCGTATTTGACAGATTCGTCGCTGGAATGACCGGCGAAAAGCGAAACTAACGCGACGGTCATTTGAACGAAGTAAGCGAACACCATAAAAGTCAAAGTAAAAAAGTGGTACTGACTTTCATTACCATCTCCCCGTATCAAAGCAATAACCCTCCGTCCGTTCTCAACACCGTCTTCTAATAACGTGAACGTAACAGTCTCAGGCGTCTGATCTGGGGGAATCGGTAGTTTCGCCAAGGTTTCGGAGGTGACTTTGCATGTGAGGGTAGAATATTGCAGCTTCTGGTCGAACGAGATTTTTGCGTTTTGGAGAGCAACCTTACTGCTGCTGTCAGTATTAGCATTGGTGGTACCATAGCCTGATTGAGACAGCCACTTGATACCAGCGCGAGTTGGTCCGGTGCAATCTATTCATAGAAAATGAAGCGTTGATATTTGAGTAAGGCTAGCAGAAGAAGAAATGATGCGTGATAGAACGCACCAACCACTAGGCTTGCATCAAGCTCCTCAATCGTCAAATCCGGTCTTCGGATTTTGACCCCACTAACATGAGAAGCGTCGCCTTCAGAATGCGGCAAAACTCCAACAACCGTTCCAGCTATTTGCGTGATGTTGGGATAACTGCCTCGACCAAGGACCAGTCGGCTGGATACATAACAACAATAACAGAGAGTGAGTAAGCAAACGAGTCGACGAGTGAATGAAGGAGCGTAAAGTTCAAAATGATGTATGCAACAAACGTATCTTACCGTAAAAGTGTTTCAAGCCCTGCCCGCCCAGAATAAATTGTTTTCGGCAAATTGCCACCATACGAATCAACCGGAGCTGGTATGGGCGTCCCAGCGAAGTTGTTCTTCCTGTCTCCTGGAAACACGCTAGAAATAGGACGAGTCCATTCATTATCAGCACGAAACAGAGAGGAAAGACTAAAATCTTCCGAGTTACTTACCCTAAACCTGAATATCGACATTGTTCATCTAAGTCCGGAAAAAGCTCTCGGAGACCGGCGTACAACAGAGCTTGGCTACCTGAACGAGACAACAACATGATCCATTTTGTGGATGTGAGTGGTGGCCTGGCTTGGTGGTGACATTAAAAATGAGTGCACGAACCATGGAGCGATGTATACTGCATGACACGCGTGCGTTTATGTTCCTGCTCCGAGCAAAACCTACGCATCCCATCTTCGCCGGTTAACCATTCTTCTGGTTCGACGATGATGACCTCTTTGAAGTAATCGGCACAGACTCGGGCTGTGAGGAGGCCGGCGATGCTGTATGCACCACCACGGGTATGAGAATAAGGCGATAGGGATTCGGAATGAGAATGCCGCATCCCTCTAGTATGAAACAAACAAAATCTGAACTAACCTCCCACCGCATATTATGGCCGTCCCATCCAGTTTCTGCTCTGAAGGACGCGTCTTCCCCAATTCCTTAATTTCGGGAATACCGGAATGGCGTCTGAAGGAATACCAGCGGAGAACCCTCCAAAGAGAATAAACTAATCCATAGAAAACGACTCCGAGGGTTATAGTGAGAAGGAATATTGGCTGAACGGCGGTGAATTTGAGCGGTTGTCCAGCCTGGAAAACCATAGGTGATTTTTGGTTTGAAGAAAGAGCAGAAGAAGATTCGAGGTGAATGGTTGAGTCGACTGCTGTTATAGTGCTGGATATATAGTGCGCCGGGGATAGAGCAGAACAGAACTCCATTGAGCAGTCCTTGCAAAAGACCGCGCCTTACTAAATTGACTTCATAGCCTAGAAGGGTGAAACTTGAAGGAAAGGGTCTGGAGTCACCAAGCTTCTATCCGAGATTGGTGTCTGTCTTACCGAATATGTGTGTGCCGTGTGTTACTAAAGGTGAGCTAGGATAGTAAGTAAGTATAGCCGGATTTTGAAGACTTGAGTCTTGAATGAAAGTCATCCTAAGTGCAGCAAAGAAAACATGATGAATTGTCTGATATTTTATTCAATGTCTGAAGAGCAGAATGAAGACCTGATGAAAGCGCGGTTGGAAATCAAATTGAACGTGTTACGTCATCGTTTCCATGCTCGTTGGGGCGGACCGATTCAACCGATTCAAATTCAAACTTGCAAAGCTCCTTCAGCTTGAATAATCCGAGCGTCTATACTTCTCTCTGAGTATAGACGGTATAGTCACGCCCGGATGACAGGCCCGGTCAAAATTGATCGGATTTTGACGATGCTCATTTCGGCCGAATCTGCATCGTCCGTCTCTATTGCAATCACGTTACTGTTAATTTTGTTCTCACCCATGGATTGGCCGGTTCTCTGCCCGTCGTTTCGCCTGTCGTTCTCATTTATTTTACCTCCGTTCACACTATTGACCCTCGGCGTCCCTTGCAGTTCGATCGACAATGGTGGCGCTGCCGCTCCCGCCGCTGGCTCTTCGGACTCGCTCATCACCAGTCTTGACGACCTCGATCCCGAATTCCTCACTCTTGTCCACAATACCCTCGACACACAGGCTACCGTGCTTAATCTCCTCACGATACATTGTCAGCAAATTGTCGAGGCCATGGATATTGACTTGCCCAGCAATAATCTTGCAGGCGCAGCCATGAATCATATCGAAATAGATGGCAAGAATGTCGAAATTGTGTATCCTCCTGAGCCTCAGCCTGCTGGAACACTCGCACTTCCCTGCAAATATGACGGTGTATTCCATGTTGCATACAAAGATATGTTCGTATAGTCATTCTCAAATTGCTGTTCTTGCACCTCATTTTCATTCACAGCAATAAACTTTCACGTCCGGCCCTACTGGAGCTCTGTAAACAATATTCTCTGAGCAGCCTAGGCAACAAGATAGTTCTGAAGGACAGGATTGCTGGGTTTAGTGAGAATAAAATTCGCTGGCAATGGTACGTCGCCAAACCTTTCTAGCCATCAGGTACCTCATATAATTACTGAAGCCTCCTCCCTGGAATTCGACGTCCTCACCGTGGCGTCCGTGAAGGCGGTATTGCCAAGAACAAACCGAAGACCAAGGAAGGCCCTACGACCGCGACCGTGACTCCGAAGGTTAAAAAGTTGAAGCCTTCGGTCATGCGAAGGAATGACTTGATGGGGCTTCCACCGAATACTCCACTCGGTACAGTGCTCTTTGACACAGAACGCTCGAAGGATATGCGAACTTTGGAGGAAAAGAATGGGCTTCGTCGCTGGGTGAGTAGTCTGTGATTTTCGAGCTTTACTTTCATTGGTTTGTCGTCGTCATAGGCAAAGGAATTCCATGATTCCCATCCCTACATCCCGCGTGAGGAGCTTACCCGAAGAAGGGAAGCCCGGGAGGAGGAACAGGCTAAAGAGAAAGCAGCAACCAAGGTACATAGCCTGTGCTCTCACTCTTCTCCTGTCAGCTGTTTCTTATTGTTGTTTTGCTCGGGCAGGTGAAGATAGCGGAGAATCTACAGTCCATGTCCCAACAAATCGCCAGCCTTACAGCTGTTATTCAAAGTTTGACAGTTGGCTCCTCGCAAACGTTGCAAATCCCTCTCGAATCGCATGGAAAGCTTGCGCAGTTATCAAGTACAGCTGGTATGTGGCGATCTTTGTATTCCCCTTTGACAGCCTGCCTAACTTTCCTGGGCTAGGTATGATCCCGACCCTCCCTCCCCCTGGGCTGGTGCCAGCTTCACTTGCATGCCATGGTAAGCCTATCCTTGCGCTCTGTAAGCTTTAATCATATTCTGTGAGCAGCAAGCTTATGTGCTCAAACCGGTGCATCTGACCTCAATCAACCTGCTCCTCTCCTCACTCCCACTCCTACAACGAACTTTCCCAACCATGGCTGCGCGTCGGCCCAGCATGCTCCTCCCCTCGCTCTGGCCACCGGTTTTGCAAGCCAACATGTTGCTCCCTCCACTCCTATGACAGTACCTCGCAATGCTGTAGTTTCGAACGAGGTCGTAATGAGCGATATGGCACCTGCAGATGGTGCAGTGCCACCAACTCACTCCCTGGCAAACGACGTACCCCCCAACGATGCGTCGGAGCTTGATAGAGTTGAGTACCTAACCATTGGATACGGACAGGTTATCAAGTATAATTTCTGTGACGTTCGTGAGCCTCGACAGATATCTTTTGCCACCAACATTGCTCGTTTGGATAAAGTATGGGATGACGAGGGCCCGAACTGGGACCCATCTGACTGTGGGAAGAACCTTCTCAATATAAATGGTGTTGCTATTGCACTCCGGTATTGGCGCGATGTCTTTTGCAGGAAGAAAGGCGGTGCGTGGGGCTGGTTAAAAAAATCATGGATTGAGTGGAAGGTATGTTCCTCGATTTCAACATATACACTATCTATTGAATCATTCGATAGTATGTTGCAGAACGCTATCGATCTAGTAGCCCCAATGAGTTCTGGGGAGAGTTTTCATCTAGCAATGGCCAGCATTTCCACTGGAATGCAATTGCTACCCGCTTGCGTGATCTTAGGTCTGAACAGGACCAAAGGCTTGTGGACAGAGCAAAGGCTGAGTACGGCGAACATTTTTCTCAGGTGTTTGTTAACAATCGGGGAAAGGTACTCACAAATGCATCAGCCATTTCTCGTCGATACCTTGATTTGGCAAAACATTCGATGTAGGGTACATGAATATCATCTATCCAATCAATGTATAATTTCGATAATTCTAATAACTATGCCTTCTACTCTATTAAGCACAATGGCAAGAGCGATTACAAGTCAGGCAGGCTATAGTAGGAGTACGATCCATGTTGAAGAAATCATCTCGGTCCACATGAGGGTTGTCATTCCACGAAATGAGATATTTCACAATGGTTAAGTGCGTGAATTCCTGGCTCCATCCTCCCCACTCACAGATTTGACGCAAAGGCCATCGTCGTTCTACCGATAACCATTGACACCCACCGCGTCGAAACGAATGAGTTCCATAGGGAACGAAATCAATGTTGATATCAAGAAGGTTGTTGCGAAACATTTCAAGGAACTGTTCTGACGTCTACAACGAGATGAGACAAAGGACACCACAGATACTCGAACTTACCATCGGTTCATTCTCCTCAGCAAGATGATCGTTGGCTCGGATTTTACGAAACAAATATCCCTCTGTCAAATCCGAGATAAAAATCCACCATGCAAAGGCACGCACAACACAGATATGTTGATACTCCTCTGGCATTTCATACCAGACAAACGGTTTGATATCTGATTAAAGCATTCAGGTAAAGCACTGGGCATGCTATTTTGGGACCTACCACCAAACTGGCTAGTCTTCCGGAAAGGGAGTCGAAGACTCAGTTTGGTTTGTCTGGTAATTGGATCTTTGATAATTTTAATATCTTGCAGTTGGATTTTCAGCAATTCGTCGATGCGTAGTAGCCCACAGAAGGCAAGGTTGTAGCCAAGGGTCAAAAGCGTACGTCCACGCGGGCCCAGTTGTCCTTTGGGAGCATTGTGGGAGGAAGGTTGATAGGCCTGAGGCTCTCGAAACTCGGGCTTATTGTTGAAATGATAGAGGTCTTCGAGTAAGCTCTGACATATTTGTGTATTAATGCTATTTTCCAGTTGCATTACAAGGAATGAGCTTACAGATTTAACAGCACGGGCACTAGTCGGCGTGTCCCCTTTCTGTGTCTATTAATGGTTACAGTAAGGTCTAGGTATAATCATGAAATTTAGGCTAACCTTGCGACGACGAAGACTAAGCATATATGTGGAAACAGTCTCGGAGACTGAAGGGTTCCCAAGCATTGTTCCTGAAATTTCACTACGGTGCCAAGCCTGCATGCCCAAACCATGGATCCGTCCAAATCCAAAAGTTGCAGCTGCTCTCATCTTCTGTGCATGAGTGTACGTCGAGCGTTCTTCCATTACAGTTGAACCATCGAGCCTGATTGGATCACACCTAAGAAAAGAGTTAGCTAGCTGTTCGAAATAATACATATCGTCCTACGAGTCCATGATCCAGGCTACTATATAAACTGCTGCTTGAGGATGAGGGCTATCACAAAAAAATTGGGTTCCCTCAGTGATCATTTGCCGATCGACAAGGAAGGTATTGCATTGCTTCATCAACCTTGAGCGATTTTTATCCTTAGCAAGATAGATGGAGCACTAAAGTGATACACACCGGAGATATTCTTGTGATGTCTTTTCAGAAACACCTTTTGAAACCTCGCGGACTGCATTGCTAAGCCCAGAAAGGTCAACCTCAACCTGGTCATGGCTTTCTTCCAAATCGTCCAGGATATCTGCAGGGTCCAAGTGTTGTTCTTCAGTAATGACCTTGAACAGTCCAGAGTATGAATTGTTGGTGGAAATGTCGATGGTCATGGAGGTTGAACTCGAGGAATGAACCAAGCCCCTATCAATGACAAAGCAAGCAATGTTTCGTCTGCAAAGCGCAGTAAACTGGTGTATTCACTGGGTTTGCTTGTAATGGGAGCAGCCAGGAGATATCAACAAGGCTTATATACCGTCTCATGAGCCTCGAGGCTCAACTCATGGCAAATTCAAGAAAAACATAGAGAAACACTGCCTCTATTAGTTGATAGCATTTGTTTACCGACGACAGACGCGTTTACTAGAAGGTAAAGTAGCAGACAGCTCCTCGAGGTCTGAAAGATCGCTTAACTCATCCAATCCAGCCTCCGTGCGGATTGAACCCTTCCAATCACCTCTACAAATGTCACCCCAACGCGTAAATTTTTGCAGGGCTAGCTTCCAGCGAGACAAGCGTGTTAATTCCCATTCTGCACATTTTTCTGCACTAGCCTGTCAAGTCCATGCCACGGGCCTCCATTCCGCCGCTCGGTATTCCGAAGATCTGCTCTTATTGTAATCTCTTCCTATTGTTCTTTCTCGCTACACATATCCTTTCGTTCTAGTCTCTCATTATTGTCTTTTACTCTTTCGTGCTAGTCTCTCCTTATTGTCTTTTACTCTACCCTGCAGGTACTACTCGTTAACGAGCTTGCCTCGTTTTTGTGTGAAAGAGAAAGGAAGGAATCTAAT